TATAGAGTATAGAATAGACTCGAAGCATTACAATCAAAGTGTGTGTATGTGTGTGTGTGTGTTTTTTTTTTAGTTTTTTAGTTTTTTAAAAAAAGAAAAAAAAGATAAGCAAAAGAAAGAAATTGGGAAAAGACTGAAAAAAAGGGGGACATAAGAACCAAAAAAAAAAAAAAAAAAAAAAAAAAATCAATCATGAGGTTTTTTGCGGTTGGTAAAATTTCATGATTCACAAAAAAATCGGTTGTCAAAAAATAACTAAAATAGCTTTTTGACGAATTCCTATTTTATGCATCTTGGAAAATGATGACATCAGTGAACATTTTGTTTTATTTTCGGCAGACATTATATCATTGTCCTCTTGACAGCTGCTTGTACTTTGAGTCTATTATAGACCCCCTTGTACCTGAAAAACAAGGAGCGAATATTAACAAGACAGTCGGCGTACCTGTCCCAGCGACAGTACAGGCTTTATGACTTACGTTTCCACTTGTCTGCTGAAATAAGAAAAGGCACAATCAGATATAATGTGCTGTCAAAAAGAAAGATGCAATTCTGCAAATGCGATAATCAAGCTATAGATACTCCAAGTTGGATGATTGCATGGAGCATACATACAATAATAGGTTTAGGTTGATGCATAAATCTCCCGGTGCTTACATCAATTATACAAAAAAAGACCTGTGCGTCTAGTCAATACGCCGATTTGAGATAGCAAAAAAATAATATAAAAAAATCATGAGATTGCAGTAGGAGATGAATATGAAGGGTTTTTTATTGTGCAAGGTGAGGGAAAACCGTGTCATACTTAAATTGATTAGGCAGACTTTTTTTCGACAGGGAGCAAATTACGCTCGACAGAGAGCTGATGATACTCGGCAGTTTGTTGTTCGATTTGCTTCTTGAGGTTATCCATATCTCCCTTACGTAAACGCAAAGTTTCCTTTTCCTTCTCGAGAGCCTCAATTTGATCCTTATAGTTCTTTTCCATGGTCAATAAACGCTCTTGATCCTTGCTGGATGTTTTGTGTTCCTCTCTGGCGTATTCTAACTCTTCTTCATGCTTCAACATGGCAACGACTAAAGTACTAGTACGCTCGAGAATACTAAACAGTTTTTTTTTTTAGATTTATATGTAAAAAAAACGCGTGTTTTTTTTCTTTTTCTCTGATGATTTAACTTACAGTGATAAAAAGAGAGTAAATCCGGTCAAGTACAAGTTTCTTTGTGCATAAAATTTGTTGGCTTTTTGACTAGCTTCATAACCAGCATCGTGGAATTGTCGCTTCTCTTCAGTATCACCTTGGTCAAGACGTTGCAAACGGTTTACAGCATCTATGATGGATTACGTATTAGCATCTATTTTTCTGGGTAACTATTTCGTCATGATTACCGATAAATAATAAAAAGATAAAGCTAGGGAGTCGAATATATCAGTATATACTGGTTATAATTATGAATATATAGAGTACTTTACCCAAATACGAATTTTAAAACAGTAATTGCTTGAAGAACCTGTATCCTTCGTTTATCAGAAAGAAATAAGAGCAAAAATTTATATTGTACTTTACCAATGGGGATCTTGAAACAAATCTGTGAATAGTTCTACGCCAGCGAGATGGAAGGGGTACCTAAAAGGCGAGATTAGGAACAACAATCTCGAGATTTGGTTTTATAAAAGATTCACTTACGACGAGAATGCCAAAGGCAACCATCTAGTTTAAACAGGAAATATTAGAATTAGTTGGTCATAGAGAGTAAGCTTAGTTGTTTACCTCAACAACCAGAATAACAAAGACAGCAGTATAATATATGGTCATAATTTTAAAAAAGAGTTGAAAAGAGAAAAAAAAGATAATATTTTTTTACTTGGGAGGGGGTATTTTATAGGTTGGTTGCACAGAAAAACGCGTTATAATAAGAATGTACTGCTTACAATATGATCTATTTTATATTTTTATTACTAGTATTTTTGTCTTATTTTTTACATATCATCATCAGAAGCAGCGACAGCATCACCCTCATCTTCATCACCACTAACAAGCTCATTCTCCTTTTCGGCTTGAGCCAATAAAGCAGCGAAATCACGATCATCAGAGTCAGAGACCAACTTGGCTTCCTTCTCGACCTTGAACTTGGTCCAAGCATGTTTATCCAAAGCTGTCTTTATTGCCTCAATACTCTTTTCGATCACCTCAAAACCAAGTTTCTTATCCAAAGAATCAACAGTAACAACATAGAAGGGTGCAGCCAAGTATGTGATCTTGATGGGAACATCCTCAGAACCAACTGATTCACCAGCCTTCAAGGCATTCTTGATGGCATTCACACCGTCAATACCGGTACATCTTAAATCAAGCTCTAAAAAGGTTTGTGGTGGTTAATAAAAAAGAAAAGAAAATATAATCCACTATAACAAGAAGCTACGTACGGGCACGGATCTTAACAGGGTGAGGGGTCATTCTACGCTTAATAATCAATAATAACTCCTTGAGAACATCATCGGAGAAAGTCATGCCTTGGAAGACAGTATCAGGGTCACTGGTAAAATAAACGGTGGTTAATATTAAAAATTGTCTCATGTAAATTCTACTCATTTACACAATAGCCATTTTAAAGGCATCATAAGCATGACCAAACTTCTTGTACAATGGCCAACCGATGGACTCGTACAAGTCTTGGAGAGGTAAATCGTTCTTTTCGGCAACGTGACGTAAAATGGAATGAACAGCCTTTGACTTGTTGTATTTCTCTTCACACTTGATAATATCTTCAGGAGTGACACGACGCTTGGATAAATCAATATAACCTGCAAGAATTATTAATACAAAAATAAAGAAAATACACGCGCCCTTTTTTTTCAGCATGTCTTACCCTTTTCTTCGTCTACTCTGAGAACAACAACGACTTCATCTCTGCCGACACGAATCAACTTTTGAACGGAACGAATACGTCTTCTTGATAATTCGGAAAGCAAGATCATACCTTCTCTATCTCCATACTCGAGCTATACATTCAAGGAAAACAGTCAGTTTGTATTGAAAAGGATGGCTTTTTTTTTTTGTTCATCTTACAAGCTTGACATAAGCACCCATATCAGCAATCTGACGGACATTGACCATGACAACATCGTCGACTTTAGGAAATTCCTGCTCGTACATGCGACAAGAAAATTTGGAATCACTCATCTTGTTAATGTTTTACTTTAGTGAAATAGAAAAAAAAAGAAGAGCCCCCCCCTCCAAAGTGAGAATTTTTTTTAGAGGCTTTTCGCGGAACTTTAATTCCTTTTTTCTTTCCAAAAACCATCATTTGCTGCGTACTTTTTTTTTTCCTTATGTAATGTCATTCATGCGTCATTCTTGTCAGTTATCAATAAAAGCAGTGATTATGATTCACATAAACTTTTTCGTGTGTCAATTATTTCTGGAGGTTACCATGGTACCCACATGAAGTATTTGACAACAGTGCAACTTATGTGTCATAATGATGATGGGTGGAGGTTGTCATAGCAACGAGTAGTCAGGGATACGCATACTTGTGTTTTTCCAGCAACATAAAAGTGAGATGACAACAAGATAAAGCCCACTTCTGACAGAGTGTGCCCCGCCCCCAAAATAGAGCTAAGCTTGATTTTTTTTATTTGCAGTGGTGAAAGGGGTGTCACGGGCAATCACAAGACGACATTGCCTATTTAATTGGGTTAGATATTGACAAAGAAAAGGGGGTTGAGGGCAAAGGAAAAAAAAGTTCATTGGAATGATCAACCTATTGTTTTATTTTTACAATAAAGATATAAGGGGAGGTGTGGATACATATCTCGGGTTACTCATTAGTGGAGAGGAGTTTGTATTCATAACATTCAACCTATATTCAGGTTCTGCAATAAAAATGTGTATCGAAAAATCAAAAGGGAGCATCATATGATTTGATTTCTATTGGCTTTCAGTGTACATCATCTGATACCCCGGAGCGTATTTGGTTCCGAAAAGATCTACTGTTGTTGGTCTTATAAAAACAATATGGATTTTTTCCTCTCTTTTCTCTTTTTCTCCTTTTATCTCGACTATTAACAAAAAAAGTAAGTTGATTTTTGACACGTCCTTTTTTTTTGTTTGTGATTTTCTTACTTTAAAGGTATTATAGTGTCATACCCTTATTATCCATACATGTCTTCTTATGGAGGCTATAACCAGTACCCACCGCAACCTGGAATGTACGGTCAACAACCATTAATAACAAATTATCCAGCATCGAATTATTACAACGGCGGGGGTATGATGGGAGGATATTACCCCAATACTGCAGGATATATGACACAAGGTTACGGTGGTGCCTATGGTACGGTTGGTGGTGCTTATGGTGGTGGGTACGGTGGGTATGGAGCAAATGGCTATTTACCATACAAACAAAGTACGCTTCGAACAATTTATAACCGACTTCGTCATGGCTCAAGTTATGGCAATTATCCATATTACAATCAATCAGGATACCCACAGCAAATGGGGTACGAATACGGTGGAAGACATCATCACCGAGGAAGTTACATCGATTATAATTAACTGTTTTGTTTATGTATAAAATCAGATTTAGTAAAAAAAAAAAAAAAAAAAATGGTATCTTTTTTTAGGAGGGAATTAGAAGGGGTTAATTTGGGGGGAGAAAAAATACAATAAGGATATAAATAATAGTATATATAACATGTCTTAATTGAACAAGACATAAAACAGTGTCGAAAGAACACCAATCAACACTGCAAACAAAAATTGTATGCTTTTAATCTACAATATTTTTTAGAGTGTGAATATTTGTAAAAAAAAAAAAAAGTTTAAAAAAAAATGTTACTGTATTACCTGGCATGCATCTAAAAATCCAAACTGCTGTCTTTTTAACTGTTCTTGTAATAGCTTTGTTTTGGCCTGTTCTCGTTCCAGTTCGCTGAGCAGCTTTTCTTTTTCAAGCTTCCAAGCGTCATGAGCCGCTAATTCTCTTTCTAAACGATGTAACTCGAGCTTTGCTGTTTGAATGGCTTGTGTCTGATGTTTCCACTTTTCATTGAATGACTTTATTTTCGCTTCGGCCAAGCTCAGCTTTTCTCCGAGTTCATCCTAATACCATTTTTTTTCAGTAAACCTTTTTTCTTTTATAATATTTGTTTAACATACGCTCTTTTTCATCTTTTCTTGATTGAATACTTTATCTAAATCCATCACTGTATCCTTGATTGATTTCAACTCATTTTCCACTTGTCTTGATTTCTCTATCTCTGCCTTTTTAAGAATAAAAAAAAAATGAATATCATCATTCCTCATGTGCCAAAAAAAAAAAAAGAAGTTACTTACTTGTAATTTACTGAGGACATTTTCCAGCTTTTTGGCTCGCTTTGTCGTTGTCACTAAAGATCCATTTTCTACTGTGGCTACTGTATTGATCGACGAAGTGGATGATTTTCGAGACAACTAGAGAATAAGGGGGGGGGGGAGGGAAGTCAACATATTTAGTACATACATAAGAAAGAAATGCTTTTTTTTTTACATGTGGATCAGGATAGACTTGTACTGGGTGCTGATTCGAAAGTTCTTTTATAATACCATCGTCCACCTGAGATAAAGGCACGGGGAAAACATGTACAGTACAAGAGACTTTATGGTACATAACTGCTCCATTATCATTGACAATATCAATACCAAACTCTAGCTCATCTTGACTCTTTAATTCCTTGGGTTCGCTTTCTTCGCATTCGTTGGATAATCTGGATCCATTAACAAAAGTACCGTTGCTGGACTTTACATCTTTTATGAAAACCTACACTTTTTCTTGATTAGTACATTAAAACATTGGGTCCTGCTATTAGTTTTACTTTGGTTTTATCACACCAAATCTCTGCATGTTGTCTAGACAGCACTTTGGAATCAAAATAGCCATTATAGGCTGTAGGGGTGGTCTTTGCTGAAGTCTGACGGCCGATTCGGATACGGACTTTGTCTCTTAATTCTAGCGTTCTTGTTTGGAAGTGGGTGTTATGAGGTCTAAGTATGACTGTAAAAACTGAATTACGCTTCTGTATCGTCATGGGACCTAAACAAAAAGTAAATTGCATTAACAACAATACGATTCTTTTTTTGTTGTTGTTGTTGCTTTGTTTAATTGCCTTTTTTCAATAATTTAACCGTTTCGTCATTCATCGGCATAACTGCTGAAGACTCGGTCATCATGGTCTCTTGAAAAAAAGAAAGAAAGAAAGAGGGGGGAAGGGATATGCATTTTTTATATATTTTATATAAATCTGACGTCTTTTTTTCGGGTTTTATAATATTATTTCTTTTTATTTTGCTAGATGATAAGAAGGTCCATGTCGAACTTACCTCATGTTACTGCAGCCCAGGGGTTTAAGGCCAAAGCTGACGCCTATGGTAAGCTTTTATTTATTTTATGACTTACATAAGAGCTGATTTGTTTAAAAAGCCAAGGCACGACCTAGTTATCCAATGGAATCGATTGATTTTCTTCAGAAGCTAACAAAAAAGACCCCTTCGCAGACGGAGATGCTTGATTTAGGAGCAGGTACAGGTATTATGACAAGATTGCTGTTTGAAGGGGGTTATACCTCTTTGACTGCTGTAGAGCCTGTGGATGCCATGCGAGCCAAAATTGGCTTGCCCGACAATGTTTCTTGTCTTTCAGGCACATCTTGGTCTATTCCTGTAAAATCGCAGTCTCAAGATGTAGTCATGCTAGCTCAGTGCTTTCATTGGTTTGATGACATGAAGAGCCTGAAAGAAATCCACCGTGTTTTAAAGCCTGGTGGTTTGATGGTCTTGATATGGAACATGGAAAGTAAGCGATCTCCCTGGGTTGCCCAGTTACGTGACTTGTATGAAGCATATGATGGTTCTGCACCTCAGTATCGCCTAGGTTATTGGAAACATGTTTTTAATGAGGCGACAGATTTGTATACACCTTTGCAACATGAAACATTTCAACATGATACACTTGCAAAGAAATCAGATGTCTGGACTAGAATCACTAGCAAGAGCTACATTGCTATCTTGGATAAGCACACGCAAGATATCTTGCATGAAAAAGTTCAGCATGTGATTGATGAATACCAGCTGGAGGATGAATTCATTTACCCTCTTGACACTGACATGTATTATTGCTATAAAAAATAGATTTTATGTAACTATTAAATTGTAATTACAACGGTATTATTTTTATTATAAATAGTTGGTTATAACAGAGAAGCGTGTTTAAATGTCTCTTCTGCTGACCTCCCCTTATGTCATAGTGATAAAATTTAGCTCTAAAAAAAAGGATCTATACATGTTTATTTATAAAGTTATCGGGAAATTAGGATATATTGGGCTCTGCTGTGAATAAGGCGAGTTTGACCCAATCTGCGGGAGGGGGGGAAGTGTGGGGAATAATGACATGAGGGTTTTCTTCCTCCCTTGATTTCCAATTCAAGAGGGTCTCTACATATTTGGATGGCTGCTTTTTATGACTGGTGGGTTGAACATCAAAATTCAGATCGAAACTTCCAAAAGTCTTGATGAGATCGTCGGTAAATTCAAGCGGTTTAAAATCAATCAACATTTTCTGCTCTTGTGGTGTAAATGAAGATGTGTCCCATTTGGGTGGTGACGGTGTGATCTATGTAGAAATAAAGAGTTAAAATAACACAAATGATATCAGTCTATTTTAGTGTTTTACTGTTTCAACTGGTCGATGTTGGTATTTTTTGATGGGATTTGTTAGCGTGGTGAATACCTCAGGATATGACATCATGAATTTAAATATCTTAATCCACATATTACTCTCCTTGACCAATTCCAGCTGTAGTAGATCATTTGGTTTGTAAAGTATAGTAGAAGGATTATAGGCTATTCGATCCTGATGCTTATTTTTACGTAGTGTATTCCAAATGATTTTACTGGCCTTTCGAATTAATTGACTTTTATTATTACTCATGACGGGTAGTGAATTATACGAGGAACAGATGGGCGCAGCATACATGTTTGTAGATGAAGATGGCATCAGTTTAGATACACCATCAATACGTACACAAGTAGGTGCCAGGATAATAGCAAGTGACTCTATCGACATTTGATTCTTTCCTTGTTTTTGTTGTACCATATCTGCTACTCCCATTAAAAACTGTAATAAGTGAAGATGTTCATGAGGTAGTGATTTACATGCTTCTTTTAAGCGTCGTTTTAATGTTTCCTTTGTGCACTTTTCCTCGTCTGTATTACTATCAGTCAACAATCTAATCTTGCGTTATAACTTTTGTTTCTTACCAAAAATATCCAAAAAGACGGGTTGAAATTGCCTTGGAATTACGGGTTCAGGTAATTGCTGTAAATAACGTTTGAATAATCCCGCTAGTGAATGTGTAGATACGGTTTCAGGAAATTTAACCAAAAACGGGTTTTTGGTTGCTTCAAATTCAGCTTGTAATTGATTGACGATGGCATTAGAGCCCGATTTACGAAATATGCCTTCTGCGTCCAAACCTATTTCAATTATAGGTGTGTGTCAATGACAAGGGTGATTATACACAGGAAATTTTTTTCTTTTCCTTTTGCTTTTAATTCGGTACCTTTGGCTTGTAATTCATCAAAGATTCTGGCAAGTATACCGGGAATCGAAAGGCCAGACGGTGTGGTAAAACTCGACCGCGCTAAAGCAGTAATCAGTGGTGCACCAAATAACAATGACATTCTAAAACAGCAGTAAAATATATAACAAAATAACAAAAAAAAAAAAAGAGAGAGAGAGAGAAAGAATGTGCCTCACTTTTACCTTTACTGTTCCTGTCGGAAATTAGTTCTCTTTGGACATATTTAAGGCAGCCAGTACAACAGAGCGTGACCTTTGTTTTTATCATTAGTTGGTTGAGAAAAAGTCCTACATCATCATCATACTACTACTATTGAAAACGGGTCAAATGATTTATAGTTATCATAGTAAAAAGTCAATAAATCACATCATTACCGACTCTTGCAATTTACATACGGAGTTTTTTTACAGTAACATATCAGAAGCTTTATTTTTATTTTTTGACAGGCCTACTATACATTAATCACAATAATGCATGCACACCAAAAACAAAGTTCATGATTTAACATCTTATTAAATAAAAGATAATACTTTAATTTTCTTATATATTTTAATATTTGCCGTAATTTTTACAATCCATAATAATAGATGACAGCCGTCTTTTTGAAAATATCGTGTGGTACCTTTTTTTTTTCTCCCGGGAACATGGTTGAAAGCGCGTCACAGTGCATGATAACATTTTTTTTTTTTTTTTTTTTTTTTTAAAAAAAAAAAAAGGTAGTCAAAGCTTATTTCCTCTTTATGTCGAAAATTAAACCTTATCAAATCCTTAATCTTCGAGGAAGGGACATTGTAGTCAGAAAGTGCCGATGCAAAGGAACAATTACGGCAGCTGTCGGTAGCCGTTCTAGCAAAGAGAACGAAATACTGTTCTGTAAAGTGTGCAAAAAGATAATACAAGACTATGTTTGCAACTTCAAAATGGACATGGTGGTATTGGACGTACTTAAGAATCGTGTACGAGAAATCACCATGTTCGACAAAGTTGTTGAAGAGTTTCTTGGGTGTACACCAGAGGAGTATTTGGAGGTATTGAGAGTATGAGAGAGAGCCTGCCCAAAACTGACATTACTGTTTTACAGCATGTCAAAAGGGATAGTCGTTTATACGAAAAGCTGGAGGAGGCGGCACATGGTATGTTTGTGAACGCCGAGATGGGCATCAATGTAAGGATTAAGATGATTAAGTGTGGATGGTTAGTAAAGTGATTGACGTTGTTCATGTAGCCACGAGGATACATTGAGGTGAAATCGTGTGTGATTCAGAGTAATGAGCAAGCAATTAGTTTGATTGGGATTATTACGCGCAAGCTTTGTGTGACAGGCGAAAATAAATAAATTCCTGTTCCGATCGAATGCGATTGTGATTGGCTCATTCGTAAAAAAATTTTTTTTTTATTATTTGTCGAGAAAAAAAATGCGGAATTGAATTAATCTTTCTCTTTCTCTAATCAACATGGCTGGTATCACTGTCAAGGACGTCAACTCCCACGGTAAATATACATCCAACCTATCTTGAATCAAAAAAGGAAGAAGAGAAAGAGCACTTTGGTCACTTTTATTGCATCAACAACATATAAAGAAAAAAAAAGACGTGTTCAATATAAAAAAAAGGGACATGACGAGATTACATGCAAATTTTTTTCTTTTTTTTTTGATTTGATTGTACATTCATCATGGCTCTTCCTCTTTACGTCTTGTATAAACCCTGAACAACCATAACAACCATACTGTCGCGTTTATATTCAGTGGCAATGCAACTGCTGCCAAAAAGAAGCTTTCAAAAAAAAAAAGTGTTTCGGTGGCTTGGCTCTCTTCCTTTTTTTTTTCCTCACTAAATTTTTTTTACATGTGTACTGACTGGTAATATAGCTTTCATCAAGGCTTACGCTGCCTACCTCAAGCGTACTGGTAAGCTCGAGGTCCCCAAGTGGGTCGATCTTGTCAAGACCGGTACCTTCAAGGAACTCGCTCCTTATGATCCCGATTGGTATTTCATCCGTGCTGGTAAGTGATATTGACATAGAGTGAGAGATACATCTAAACTAACTTGCTGCTTATAGCCTCTGTTGCCCGTCACATCTACATTCGTAAGTCTGTTGGTGTTGGTGCTTTGAACAAGGTTCACGGTGGTACCTTCAACCGTGGTTCTCGTCCTTCTCACCACTGTAACGCTTCCGGTTCCGTCAACCGTAAGGTTCTTCAATCTTTGGAGAAGATTGGTGTCCTCCAACAAGACAAGAAGGGGTACGTTTTAAGTTTATTTTTTATAAAGTAGCAGCCAATTAACTCATTCTCCTTTTTTATTCATTACAGTGGCCGTAAGATCACTCAAGATGGTCAACGTGATTTGGATCGTATTGCCATGACCCTCGCTGAAGAGTCTGATGAAGAGTAAATTCTTTTTAAATAATAAAAATTTTATCTACAATTTAAACTATAATATAATGACTTCTCGTGCTTTAAGAGATAAGGCGCTGTAAGCTTACGCACAGACTTTATGATTATGACGAATACTAGTACTACTATGTGGTATTTTTATTGAAAGAGAGAGAGAGAGATAGAGAGAGAAAGAGGAAATAAATTACAGCACAAGGTGTGATAGGCTTGTTCAAGGGTATTATTTGTATTGGGATGCAGATGATTATATTTTGGTTTTGTATATATTTTTTTTTTGTTTTTATGTGGATTCTGGGAATACTTCACGAACGAGATAGGACAGTTCCTTTTGCTTTGTACAGACAAGCTTACCCTTTTTGATATCAGCGTGAATTCTTTTTAATACAGCTTTTGCGCCAGGACGAGTCAGGCCATTGTGAGTCAACATCCAGGCAACGAGTTCACTCATGCCCTTGGAAGGCAATGAGAAGTGGAACTTTGGAGAATCACCGTAGAGAATATCGGCATAGATATCCTGACTGCTTTCGAGGTAATAAAGTGGAGGGACACGATCCATCATTTCAATCATGGTAATGGCAAGTGACCAGATATCAATATTTTCTCCGTAAGGACTTTCCGACACTACCTCCGGTGCCATCCACTATAACAAGAAATAGTTAGAAAATAGGTCATCTGCTTTTTTTTTGGTCTATTACTTACTTTGGCTGTGCCTAATCGATTCGTATTCACTCGGTTAATGGGAGTAGCTAAACCGAAATCAGCTGCAAAAGGGTTAGAGTTAGTAAACATAACCATATAAAAATAAAAAAAGATAAAAACTCACCAAGCTTCACTTGGCCATTGCGGCCCAAGAGGATGTTCTCACACTTGATGTCACGATGCATGTAGTTCTTGGAGTGGAGATAGACCAAGCCTTCCAGACACTGCAAATAATAGTCAGTACAACGTCAATATAAATAAACGGGGGGCGGCTTTACCTCTCGTGCGACACGAACAGCGTTGCCTTCAGAAAGACCGACGGTGGTATTATACAGGAGGTTGAATACGGAACAGGACATGAGCTCCATACACATCCAGAGATGATCATCCCATAAACAGGCTTCTTTGATTTGAATTAAATTAGGGTGATTAAGGCAGCCCATAATACGCAATTCTCGCAGAATATAAGCGTGATGTGGCGTATCAAGATCTTCAATGTAACAACGCTTAATTGCCACTTGGTTATTGGAATGTTTCTTTGTTGCCCTGACTACCGCACCATTGGCACTAAAATAAACAACGATTTAGTTGAATGGGACGTAGACAATAAAAATTCTATTTTTACCCGCTGCCAACTTGATGAAGGCCTTCAAATTGTTCTTTAGGGTTGAGTTCCATAATCTTGTTGGCAGGCAAGACTTTTCGTAGTTTGGCATCGAATGCAGCATGTGCTTTGCGTTTGACTTTGATGACTGGTGGCGGTAAAGGTATAATATCTGGAGATTTTCCAACTGGCATCCAACGCTGAGTTAAAAATGTTAGATTGCATACTATCCGTACGTACTTTTTATTATTTGTTTACCTTTGTTTGTACAGGTTCTATGGTCGATTTCTTTTTGGTTTGTGCTGGTATTGAAGGCATTATTTTATCCTTGTTCTTATCCCAAGCTTCTTTAATAATGTCGGGTATCTCAAAATTGCCTGGAACACGCCATGGCGCCTTTTTTTTTATTTATTTTGTGAGTGATTTTTATTTTTTACTTTTAATTTTTTTATATATATATATATACCTTTTTACATTGTGTGTTATTATTATTGTTGTTGTCAGGACGTAGTTTACGTGGTTTCATATCTAATACTTTATGTTGCGGTGAAGCAAGTCGAGTTGCTCCAGAAGAACTTGAAGTATCGTATAAACTGGGAGAAGTACTCATTACGAGTAGTGGTGCCTTTTTTATATTTTACACAATTAAATAAAGAATAAAGAAGAAAGGGATGAATGGAGATGGTGGCGAAAAAAAAAAAAAAAAAAAAAAAAAGTTGAAAGAAAGGGAAAAAAAAAAGATTTGGGTCTTCTTTTTTTTTTTGTGTGTGAGAAAAGTGAAAAAAAAAAGCTAAGGGGCCGAAGGGTTACAGAAGTTTTTTTTCACTTTTTTTTTGTTTGTGTATTTTTTGTCATTACACCCCGTTTTTATTTTATCATAAAGTTATTGTAGTACAAAAAGGCTCTTTTCTTTTTTTTTCTTTCTTTTTTCGGGTATCACCCCAAATGCTTCATTCATGGACGGGAGTGTGCTTCAAAAAAAAAAAGTTGAATTTATTACTCAAAGAAATGATTAGATAATCTATTGTTTGTTGTGGGTGTTGTATTATTTCTCTGAAACAAGAAATCGGTCAAAGGCCTACCAATGATGGATTCGGTGTTAGTCGGAGGATCATGCCGTTGCCGGGGAGAAGGAGGTAATCTGTAAGATTGCATCGATTGTTGCTTGGAGTACCAATCGTTGCTATGCATTCCGTTGCCATGAGGGACAAAGGTTTCCTTGGTTTCCTCCTCCATGGGATACGACGACGAGGAAGAGGAAGGATGATGATGCTAAATCACTGATTATTACACAATGGTTACACCTCTTTATATTTTTTTTTATATCCCACTTACTCGCTGTTCTTGAGCCATATCTGTATATATCATGTATGTGATGTACGCATGCATAGCATTTCTTTTAATACGCGGATTCTGTTTCTATGCACACCATAAAAAAAAGAGTCAGTTTTTTTAGCCAATTTTTTTATAAAAAAAAATATGTACCATGGATAAGTACTGCCAGGAAAATGCATGTGTTCCCTCAGATTGTGACTCATTCTATATTAAAATGATTACCAAAGAGAACGAAAAAAAAAAAATGAAAAAATAGGCGAGTTTGATGTCAATGCATATTTTATATATGCATAATTTTTTTTTCTTTTTTTTTTATTTTTACCCCTTTCACTTCTTCTTCTTCTGTTGATATAGGATTGACTGTGGATGTTGGCCACGTGTCGTCCACCGATACCGAGGGTCGCTGGTGACGATGACGTCTTTCACTGTGACGACGGTGTAAGAGCGATGACCTGCTATCACTGTCATCGTTGGATCCGTACGTAAACGACTTTCTCTTTACTGAACCTGTAGGTGTATAACAACATTAATACACATAACAAAACGCACAAATACACACATTATACACTTACCGTGTCGTCCATGCAGCTTGATTTCCCGTCGCTCATAGGCTCGTTTCTTGTATTTGCCTTCATCGTCAATGACAGCAGCTGCCGCAGCCAGTAACATGATGGGATCCGGCTGACCACGTTCTTGCTGTAAGTGAAGATTGGCGTCTGTCTTTATTGGTAGTGACACTTTAATATCTCCTACAAGGTTGTTAAATCATATTTACATATATATATATAGTGATAATAATCTTATCATTTTACCTTTGCTGGATATCCTTCTTTTGAACTTTGTATCCAACGAGTGCGAAGAAGAACCTGCGAAATGAAAAAAAGGGGGTGGTTTCAGTAACAGTAAGGACATGCCATGTTTCCACTTTTACCCATCAAATGTTGTAAGGATGTGTCTTGGTTGGCCAAGTCAATCAAGATACGGCTGGCTTCTGCATCCACTTTATTTGACGAATCTTGTAAATCAAAGGCATCTTGGCTTCTTCTTGTAGACGAAGAACGTGGCTGAATCTGTGTTGGGTATTCCTGTAACATCCCTTTTTTTTAAATGTGTATGTGTGTGTGTGTGTGTGTGTAAGAAGAAGAAAAAGAAGGAGAGAAAGAAATAAAAAAATAAAAAAAGGTGTGTGTGCGTCGTGTAACAACATTATTATTGACGTCACTTGTAAAGATTACAACTGTGGAATCATGTGATTCATAGGTGGCCTGTGTGTAAGTTGTGCCTCTCCCGTATCACTTATATTGTTTATTTTTTCTTGTCAGTGACATTGAATTTAAAGTGTAAAATATCGCCATCTTCCACAACATAATCTTTGCCCTTTTGCATATATTTACCCGCTGCCTTGACTGCAGCTTCAGAGCCGTAATGCTGCAGATCTGCAAACTTTTGTGTGTCGGCTGCAATAAACCCACGTTCGAAATCAGAGTGAATCACTCCCGCTGCCTGAGGTGCCTTGGCTGTGTTCTGCTCATTATAAGTAAACCTTTATAGATATTCTAATGAAAAGCAACTTACTCTGACGGTCCATGCACGCACTTCTTGTTGTCCACAGGTATAGTAATGAATCAAATCTAGCGACTTGTAACCAGCCAAAATGACATTTGGTAATTGAGATTGGATACCAAGGTCCTTCAAGTATTGGGCTTGTTCTTGTGGCGCCATGTCTACTAATTTGGACTCGAGAGAGACAGACAAGGGAATCACACGATCACCCTTATTGTTCTCTTGCACCCACTCGTTAATCTTTGGTAACCACTTGTTTGTTTGTGAGACATAGTCCCCTTCACTGGTATTCACCAAATAAATCATGGGCTTAGCCGTTAACAAGTGTAAACCGTTAATGACATTCACCTGGGCTGAGCTCCAATCTCCCTTTCGGACATCTCTTCCCTTTGCCATAAACTCTGCCAAGCTCTCCACAATAGCCTACAAAACAGAAATTACTACTTTAATATACACACACACACACGCATACACACAATCTTACAAGCTCTTCCTTTTTGGACACGGTGCCTGGCAATTTTTTGGCGTCGGGGAACTTTGCTAGTTTGACCAAATCCAATAACTGACGCTCCAGCATTTCTTCGTCCTTGATACGAAGTTCGTTCTGGATAATCTCTAAATCTCGCACAGGATCAATGGTATTTTCCACATGTGTAATATCGTCGTTTTCAAAGGCACGCACCAAATGGTAAATGGCATCTACCGAGCCTACATTGGATAAGAAGGCGTTGCCCAGACCAGCACCTTGAGAAGCACCACGGACAAGGCCTGCAATATCCACTACAGTCAACTAGAGATTTTTTTTCAATTTTTTTCCCTACTTAAAACTTCTGAGTCGGATCTTACATGTGCAGGCGTGGTTCTTTTAGGTTCGTATGTTTTGACAAGCCAATCTAATCGATCATCAGGGACTTCCACTCTAGCCTCGGATGGATCGATGGTACAGAATGGGTAATTTTCTGCAGGCACACTGCTGTTCGTTAGTGCATTAAATAAGGATGATTTACTGTGATATGACATGAGTATCTTTGTATAACATGTCTCTATTCTTTTAATGTTACCCAATATTGGGTAAACCAACAACACCCATACGAAGGTTGTTGGAAGGTCTTCCTAAAATAGCCTTCTCGGGCTCTTCTTTCTTGCTAGGCTTCTTCTTGGCAAGAACTACACTGGAAGTTGAGAAAAAGCATCGGGTAGGAACAAGTCCTTTACGAATGGCCAACATGGTTGAGTAAATGAAGTAAAACAAAAATTTATTTTAATATTTTTCTTTTACAAGGCTAAATAAAATAAATAGTGACTGTTAGATCATGCAATCGTCTTCGTCTTCATCATCGTCTTCTGCAAGACCATTGTATTTGCCTCGCAAAGCTTGCTCGGCATTATTCAGGACTTGGCCGATTCTTTCCTCAATATATCGAAGGTATTCTTCATTTGCATTGTCAATGGCCTCAGTCAGGCCGGGGAAACATTGAGCCACGCCCGTATTTAACTCTGGACCATATACCACATGCTTGAACCAAGGTCGTTCTGTAGCAATACCTTGAGGATCGAGCAATGCTCTTTCAAACTGCAAAAGACGCTCATTTGCTTTGGTCACATGTTTAGTGAGTTTCTTGGAAATATGCTTGTGAACTTTTAATTTATGATGCCACTTGTTATGCTTCTTTTCGAAATGCAGACTGGTAGAGGCAAGTGAGTTAATGGCGGATGAGATAAAAGGGAATGTTTGACAGCCTTGTCTGGCAGTGAGAAGATTCATGTGACGTATAATCTCTGTAGAGTAATCCTGTACATGCATAGGCAAGATGATGTCGGATGATAGACGAAATACTAATAAGCCCCAAATCTTTGTTAACGCCTGATGATATTCAAACGTAGGATCACCCGTTGTTTCCATCCAGTGTCTATCATGTGGATATCCATTTTCATCTCGAAAACCGAAAGAGACACTAGAGATACCCAAGTGATGAAAGAAGCCAACATGATCAGAATCTACACCCAAGGGATCAGTCAAAAGGGTTGGAATCAAATTATCTTGTGGAGAAGATTCGAAGTAAAACGCTTGTTCTGCTGCTGTTTTATTCCTGTCTGCTTTCCAAACATCATAAACAGTTTGACTTGTATGTGGATCAATAATCTCCTGTGTGACCTCGTATAATAATTGACTCAATAAAGGAGAAGACTGCGCAGAGAAATGCCGACCAGATACAGCATGATCCACATTCAAATAAGTAACCACTTGTTCTTTTAACCAGTCCTGATGTTGTTCAATCCATTCAATAGAACCAACAGAGCCATATTCTTGCGCATCCCATGATGCAATGATAATCGTACGTCTTGGTTTCCAACCTCGTTCTAATAAAATACCAATTGTTCTCACCAGCTCCATCTAAAAGTTTGAGAAACACAAAACTTGTTTTAGCTATTAATCATGCATTGTTATCTTATTTATTTACCATTACAGCAGACCCAGAAGAAGGATCAATTGATCCAGACTTCCAAGCATCTCGGTGATTACCAATAATGATAGCACGCTCAGGTTCAATGTTGCCAGGTATTTTACCAATAACGTTCCAAACAGGTCTGACTTTGTAATCATTGAAATTGACTAAATTCACCAGAGATTTACTAGGACCACTGTAATAATTCACATCACACAGACCACCTAACCAAGTAATATCCGCCTCGATACCATATCCTTCAGTTGTTTTGAGCAAGGGCAATGCGTCCTGCCAAGAGATAGGCAAAGAAGGTATCTTTGGGATACCGGTAGCTTGATCTAAAGTGATACGATGCGTATCATTTTCTGTTGTGGCTGCGTAACCTTGTGTTAATGGATCTCCTACAATGTAGGATGTATACTGTACAGACGCCTGTTCCACAAAGGTAGGACTATAATATACATTTGTATATAAATAAAAAAATCAGAAAAAATAAAATAAAATAAACGTAATTGTTATTACAGTATTGCAGTAGTATTTGTATCATCCGGATCTGTATACAAAACAACGCCCGAGCAACCAAAATCTTGCGCCATCTTCACCTTAAGACCACTATGAACTACACCATTTCGGATGAGAGCAATCGTCCCTTGAAAAGAGATACCACGAGCCAACAGAAATTGGAAGTCAGTTAAGCGACCATAGTTAACATAGACGATGGGACCCGTGACATTCCCGTGGCCAGAATAGGCATGAAAAGAGTCAGTGGTAATATTGGCTTCATGAAGGAAAGGGCCCTGTACAATAGCAAGTCTTGTCTTGTTTGGATAGTTTAGTAATGGCCAATACGTTTCAATCCTGCTGTCCGTCACACCAAATTTTTTCCAAAGATCTCGTGTCCATTCTGCTAAATTTTTGTCGGTGCGTGAACTCGCTAGTTCTGCAGATGCATAAGTGTTGAAATATTGTTTGATATGGTCACTGGATGGAATAGACTTGAACAATTCTGAAACGGTTTCTTGGGGTAACGCTAGTATCAATAGTAAATTTTAGCATTTTTTTTTTTTACTTTTATACTAGATTACGTACCAAATTGTATATAATTATCAATAAACCGATGGATAAAAAACATGCTGGCAGTGCAGAATAAAAAAGTGCTAATCAGTTTAATACCTCTAGTGCGGGATCGCAGCATTTTACGAGTACTCTTTTCCTTTTGTCTGGGTGTCATAAACCACTGATTAAGACCGCCTATCCAACCCACTGGCTGGGTTTTCTCGTTAGAGAACCATCCTTGCTTTTCTGGATCCGAAGATGGCACAGATAAGTATCCTTTCGACATTATGCGTGTGTGCGTGGATTTAGAATTCAAAAAAAGAGAGAAAAAAATAGAGATTTTCATGGTTTGCTTTTATATTTTTAATGTTTGTTTACAATACACAATGAACTCCCTGGTTTCGCAATTAGGTGCCTGATATTTTAAACTTCCGCTGATGTCCTGTCTCTTCTCTCATTTCCCTAATGCTGTCATTTTTCTCAAAAACTTAATTCGTTTTGGTTCTCACTTTTAGATAAGCTAAAGTTCCTTGAAATTGATGTAATTACATAATCCAATACTTACTTTTGTTATTACCCAAAGTTCGTTTTCAACCACGGCCGAGGTATGGCAACCGTCTGTATTATAGCTCAGGCTTTTGGGCGCTTGGTTATATATTCAGGGGAAACTTTATGATTGATGGCCATCAGCTTGTATCCACCAGTTTCAAAAGACAAATTTCTGTCGAGAACTTCCTTCAAAGGTTAAATTAAAGTTTAATGGTTTCAAATCAACAGCAGGTTCAGTTCAGAGATCAGAAAAGCTCTAATTCGTACTGTATAGCCGCCGTTTTCATAGAGACAATCAAACTCCACTTAATATTGGCAAAATATTGACCATATAGAGCCTCTAAACGTAATGCTGAATCATTGATAATTGATTGAAGGCGTCAGTGTCAGATAAACGTTTTTCTGGTTGGCTCTATTGGCTCACGCAAGGAAAGATAGCACAGCAGACCATTTGAATTCTATCAATTTTACTACATACCACGACAGAAATATGGTGAGTGACTGTGATATTAAAGGTGCTCAGCTGTTTTAAAAAAAAAATACGGAAAAAGGGGAAGCTTACGTAGTTTTTTTTTGTATATTAATCACTAATGTCATTGGAAATTGAAGTTACCGAACAACCTTTTGATAGAGAATTAAAAATCCTCTCTCCACCAACGAATGCAACTCAGATAGGTAAACAGGAATTTAAGAAGAAGCGAAAAATAGAATAGAAAGGCTGACATTTTTAGCCCAAAGCTGAATTGCCAGAGACAGCTTATAAGTTAGAACCTAATGAGATCAAGAAACTCTATCAATCTGCTGTAGAGCGTCGACAGAATCTCGAGAATAGGCAAGTACGAGGACAGCCAGTTGAACGATCGTCTGTGTAATAACACCTGCTTTTAGACCTTTAAAGACTCAAAAGATGAGGGATGGTGAAGATCAAGAAAAGCTTAAAAAGTATCCAAAGACAACCATTCGTATTCGTATGCCAGATCACACCATTGTACAAGCTGTATTTCAGACTAAAGAAAGAGGTAAAATGGCAAGACGATCACATTAAATTTGATTATACTGTGCTCATAATTATTGCTTAGTGTCTGCGTTATATGAATTCACAAGGAGCTTATTGGAAACACCGGAACGAAAATTTGTGCTGTGTTTGCCTCCACGTACCAAATTAACCGAACCTTCATTGTCCTTTTTCAAGGCTGGATTATCACCTGCATCCAATGTTTTGTTTGCCTGGATCGAACAAGGAGAAAAGGGTAAGCTAATTGATATGAATTTGATTTTAGGCTTGTTGGTGTTTATTAACTTGTGGGATTTTAGGCAATGCCTTGAAGCAAGAATATTTGGATTTAAAGCAAGCTTTATCACCTCCACCAGCACCTACTTTATCTAATACCACATCGACATCTAGCACCACCTCTGAATCGAAACCCAAATCCAAAGCAGTTCCCAAGTGGCTGCAAAAAGGCTTGTTCAATAAAAAATAAAATATTATATGTCTGATGAAATGGCCAGGCTTAAGAGCTTTGTCAATTACAAAATAAAGCTAGTAATCGTCCGCTAACCCAAGATGTAGTATACAGATCAGCGTTCATAAAGTCCATAACGAAATGCATTTATAAATGCTCAACCATAAGCCATTACCATGACACTGAAAAATCGGCCGGATTACTAATACAAATGAAAATGTGTACCAAAGCTTTACTTTTTTATTATAATGTATTTGTTTCATCGGAAAGCCTGATGCAGTATGAATTGATGCTATTGCGTATTTACAGATGGATTAATTTACTAACCATATCAAACTAATATGGCCTGATTAATTTCAAAGGTGGTTTCCTCGTCTTCTTCATCAGCAAACTCATCCGGATCGTAAACAACTCTAATGATTAAAGAACAAGAAGGGCAGCGTGCGACATCATCACCATCCCTTAAATCATCCTAAACAGTAATAATGAGTATACAATGTTTGTAAAGGAAACATATAATTCATACCAAGTAGATTTCAAACTTGTCTCCACATGGACAAGGATAAGTATAGCGGCCCTCATCTTCATCAAACTCAAAGTCCTCGATTTCAACCTTCATAATTGACATGGTTAGTCTCAAATATCTAAAAGTCTCTAGGCATGCTGAGTGATTTACCTCGTCGTAAAATGAAGCCATTTCGAATGATATATATCGAATACAAACAAAGACTTTTCTCCCCTCTTGTTTGTTGTCACATTTAAGAAAAAATTAGAAAAAAAAAGGTCACAGGATCACAAACCATAAAAAGTAAAATAGAAGATTTATTAAAGTCTTGAATCGATATTGAACTTAGTATGAGAACCAGTGTAAGACAGACGATTTTGACCATCGTAGATTTTAGTATAGATGCTAGCCAAAGTTTTACCAACTCTTTGCACTTCACAAACAATATGAATTGTTTCGCCTTCAGCAATTCCGCGTAAATAAGAAATCGAGAGATCTGTTGAAATGCCGATTATTTGCCATTGTTTACCACCAGCAACCAAAAGAGCAACACTGCTACACATATCGATCAACGTAGCTACGCAACCACCATGAAGATTACTCAATCTGCATTTTATTAGACTTATTTTTAAAGGTAAAAATCTGTATTATAAAATACATTACTGGTTACAATGATGGTGTTCTATCTTGAACTCCCATGTCAACTTGTCGGTTTCTGCATCGACGATACTCAGACTTTCTGATACATTATTTTCCCATGATACAGATCCTCCCTCGCGGCTTCCGACCGTAAAATTTACAGCTTCAAGTAATCTGGGAAATTTCTCCGCGATATGAGGGGCGATTTTCATGTTTAGAAAAAATAAAAATAAAAAATAAAAAAAAAGAAAGAGAGAAAAGAAATGATGATTGCTTGAGAAAATGAATGACAAACCAATAAACCAGTTACACAATAAAATTTATGCCACTCCTCCATGTCATTCTAATTATTCCATACAGATCAGTAATGTAACCATGTCGTATATATTGAAATACCAAACGTCACCGTATTTAAAATCACTAGATATTTTAGCGAATTTAGCAGAAAATCTCGTGAATTTTTCGAACATCGATTGCATAAGAAGACGCAATCCAGTATGTATGAATAGCTTAGTCTTGATTTTTAGACTGTCGAGCAATGGAAAAAGAAAGAAAAAAAAGTCTAAAACAGTCACATAATTAAGCGCCAAAAACTATTGCTAGGCTTTCATTAAAACTTGGGTCCATCGTACAACTTTTTCTTTTTTCCTTTCTACTAAAAATCAAAAATGTCTCAACCTCAATTCAGTGAAAACGACCAACGTGAACTTGCCCAGGTAAGAAGTACAAAATGATGCATACTTATGGCAAAAGTATTCATATGTCGCATACAATAGTTCCTCGAAGCCGAGCAAGCAAAGGCCAGAGTCCAAGAAGTTGTTCATAATATGACCGATACTTGTTGGGTAAATATATAAATGCAAAAGTGGCATGGGAAAGTAGTTATTTACTTGTATAAACTATAGGATAAGTGTATTTCTAAGGTCAACAACAAGTTGGATCGCTCAGAGGAAGCTTGTCTCGCCAACTGCGTTGATAGATTTTTAGATACCAGTTTATTCATCGTCAAGCGTTTGGAAGATATGAGATCTAGCAGCATGTAAACAGGATTTATCAAAACGAACAAACAACATCTTTTTTCATATTCTCGAAATACGATATGTACATTATATATAGAAACTTTTCTTTAATAAAAAAAAATACGATTTTTATTCTAACAAACAAGCGAGGCAACACCATGCATTTCCTCGCGAAGTTCATCCCATACTTCTTGATTCTTTTCATTCACAGTTGCAAGACTAAAATAATATTAGTTTGTTTTTCTTGTTTTAGCCCAGTGTTTGTATTATTATGTATTTACCTGTCCTTGAGCTCTTTAATAGTTTCATCAAAATCTTTATCAGACTCCTTCGCTTGAATCGTCAAGATTTGGATTTTAACCGTCTATATTATCACCATTAATTACCGCATGTCTTTTCTCAGCTTAAACACGTTACCTTTTCTAACTTTTCCTTTTCTCCATCTTGTAAAGCACGAATCATACCAGCAATCACGCTATCTGAGATCTCCTTTTCGGCCGTCTGAATTTCTTGAGAAACATCTTGAAACCCTTCCGTTACAATCTTGCAAATAGAATGATATTGATCAGCAGGGCATTTCCCACTCAAATAGTCTTTAAAAGCACTGATGTGGCGTTAGATTCTTTTTTACTTCATTACAAGAATTCAGCTTACATGTCAAACTCATTATACAGCTCCATGCGTGTGCTTTGAGCTTTTAACAGCTTTTGAAGTTGGTCTGCCAAAACTTCATTCTTTGTTAAAACTTCGCTACTGGAACCTGTCATTAGTGTGGAGTGGTGGAGCGATAAAGGAAAGGATTATTTAAGTGGAACGTGCGGGTCAACTTAACATTTAGCTCGTCTGAACGTCACACTTTTTCCAGTCAACTAAATTTTTGGTTTTGGCCGCGAAAAGCCAAATCACGTTCACCATAAATTTGACAAGATGTACGAATTTTTTAAGCCGAATTACTCTTTCTGGGCCAAAGAGAAACACACGGGTAATCCAAGATAAATCAAGGGTGATGATAAATCTCATATATCAAAGTTTCTATAAAGAGCGTTGAGGAGTACTTAAAGAATAAATACTTCTGTCTTGGACACATTCAAAAAGAACATATAAATTATAATGCTTTGCGACGCCGGATTCATATAATCACGCTTTTTCGATTTAAGGGCATTTTCAATATAAGGGTGCAATTTTAAAATTTTCCAGTCACCCTTTAATCGAGCGACTGATGTAAACGGAAAAAGCAGTTTTCATCATGTAATCATCCACTTTCAGGCCTGTTGTCATATTTTGTAAAGCTTATGTAGATAATGGAGGAACATTATATAACTTCATATGACATCAAATACAAGCTGCAATAAAAATATGTAAGACTTAGCGTATATAATTAAATAAGCTACTAGGAAGATATTTAGCCCCTCCCGATCAATACTGGCTTTGGAGGCCATAAATAATAATAAACTTTGTAATAGAATTCAATATCAGTACCTCTAATATTTTTCGTTAAAAATTCAAGTGACTACGTATACGAACTTACCAAAGTCCATGATTGTTACTATACGAATATCCATTCTTATGTAATTTGATGATTCTTTTATGACAATAAACTGTGACATCCTCAAAAACTATCAATTGAAAAAAAAAAGATACAAATGAAATTCCAAATAGAAAACTATTGGCAGGATTACTAAGAAGGCGATATATGCCAAATCAACAAATCATTTAGGCTGCAGCCCGATTCGACGGATTTGGACTCCGTTGTTTAGGACAGAATAAGAGTGTCAAAAAATCGTATGATTTAATCTTCATTAGTTGCCTTTTTGCAAGTACACTTTAGGGCTGCTTCCCTCTCTCTCTTTCTCTCTCTCTTGTTTTTTCGTCTTCCCTCCCCATCCCCCTCTATTTCTCTGGCACCTTTTTACCATGTCACCAACTTCTATATTTGTGTCACAAAATACTGCTAAACGTCTAAAGACTGAGGAATCTAATTCGGTGGAGGAGAAGTTCTTTCCGGGTCTTTTTAGTCAAGAATCCCGCGACACTATACGAAAGGCCGTCCTGACATCGCAACCTTATCCGCATTGTAAAATATCACAATTAGTTGACGATTCTCTTTTGAGACGTGTTCATAAGGAGATCTACAGGGAGCTAAACTTCACTAATAAAGAAACTGATATTTACAAGGTAAATCAAACAGGCGATCTTGCAAATATGGATGGCCTTAATGATGATGAGCGTAACAAGCTTTCCGCTTTGTTTGAACTTCGTAACGCTATATACTCAAAAGAATTTCGTGAATTTGTGTCTGAAGTCACTGGCTGTGGTCTATTATCACCTACAAAAATGGATATGAGTGTCAATACTTACACAGAAGGATGTCACCTTTTGAACCATGACGATGTAATTGGCACACGTCGTATCTCTTTTATACTGTATATGCCTGGTGATCCTGACGAAACTTGGGATCCAAGTTATGGTGGGGCTCTTGAACTCTATCCGGTGGTTGAACGTGATACCCCTGCCAATGAACCTGTTGTGTCTGTACCTCCTCAATGGAATCAATTTGCCATGTTTACCGTCCTACCTGGTTACTCTTTCCATTCTGTCGAAGAAGTAGTTGTTCAAAATAAGCCACGTCTTTCTATTCAAGGTTGGTTCCACTTTCCTCAGATAGGTGAAATGGGTTACAAGGAAGATGCAGAAAAAAGTGACAGCCAGTCTTCTCTCCAACAAATTGAAGCAGCTGTTGATTCCAAGGAAAAATATAAGCAATACAACACGGAATTAACAGATTCGGATACAGAACTCTTATCTGAGAAAGATATTGAATACCTTTCTACTTGGATGAATCCCATTTACCTTGATTCCAGATTTTTGACAAAAGTCACAGACAAATTTCTTGATGAGTCTGTAGTGCAATTGAAAAAAATACTAAACGAAGAATTGTATGCGCGCATCAAAGTGGCAATTGTTAAAGCTGACCAGCGTGATGGTTTTACTGAAACTAGAATACCTCCCCATGGAAGTGGTATCTGTGGTGATTGGAAAGTTCAAGGATCTCCTATTTCCCAGCGATTTCTCAAATTGACCGAAGTTGCAAACTCTGATGAAGAAACTTCGGTTATGTTCGCAAAGTTACGTTCTCATTTTGAAAGTGAATCTTTTCGCCGTTGGTTGGCAGTTTTATCCCATTTACTGCCTATTGGTTACAGAGGCGCGGCTCGTCGATTCCGCCCAGGACATGATTTCACTCTAGCGACTACAAATAATCGTGGCCAAGCTGTCTTGGATGTAACCCTATGTTTGGCTACTATAACCAATGAGAATGATACAGAGATGTGGAACACCTGTGAGTATGGCGGATACGAGTGTTACATGTCTTCTCATGAAGGTGATGATGATCCTGCTACATATCGCTCTTTTGACGATGATGGTGCACTTCTAACTATGGCTGCTGGTTATAATGAACTTTCCGTAGTTTTGAAAGACGAAGGTGTCATGCGCTTTGTTAAATATGTCAGTGCTAGAGCCCCGGGAGCTCGTTGGGATGTATCTTTTGAATACGACTTACCCGAAGAAGAAGAAGAGTCGTAATTTAACTCGCCTGTCACTTTCATAATCAATTCATTTTTACATACTCATTTTTCAAGAATAAAATATAAAAGCATTTAATCTAAATAGATATGTAAACGTTCCTGTCCAATTGTCGTAAGACCAGTAATAATTGTGTATTATATACTAGTCAATCCAGTATCTCGATTTCCCGACTATGTAATACCGAACTTTCAAATTTAAATAATGGGAAAACACATAGATACCAGCATTAAATAAAGGATTGTCTTATACTTAATTAAAAGTATCGTCTTTAGATACCCTTTTTTTAAAAATTGCAATATGAATCTAAAAGAATTACAGTTGCATTTTTCGATGCTCCGTTAAACGTATAAACCGATTCGGTTATCAATTAGTTAGACAAACATCATATCTGTTTCGTTGTGTGGTGTAAAGGCATAATTGATAGCCAAGCTAATGTGGTGGATTCTACAATGAGCTATGGTGACATCGAGATACGTCATAGATTAAAGGAAAATATTGCCATTAAGTCAAGTTGCAGGTTGACTATTCCATGAAAATGGTCCAGGTTGGCACTCGGGACTTCACTGTATTGTTTGTGTAGTTCCTGAAGTACGTAAAAACCCAATATATTTTATCAGCTTATTAGAGTGTCATCCGTATGAGCGCATAGTCGTGTGCAGTAATTGATATTAGAGGAGCATCAACCGAAGCAACAGCCGGATTTGTCTCTTGTTGCTGGTGTAGACGGTCTATGTTTTACCCATCTCATAAAATTAGAAATGTCTTTAAAAAAGTCGTCTTAATCTGTACCTGACACAAGAGTGGCTCAAAATTCATTAAGCGACATAGTACTTTGTGTGTAAGGCAACCGATTTGAGGAGAGTAATATTGGTTTCTTTTCGTCTCCCCCTCATCTATAACATAAACATCCCTACGTAATGTTGGGTTGGTAAAAACAGAACAAGCTAGTCTATTATTATTATTATTATTATTATTACCCACACCCCACTCACCCTCTTCTTTGTATATATTCTTATATATACATAAAAGGAGGAGACCAACAAATTATTATTTTCTCCCTCAACAAAGCCATAAAATTTTTAATATACTCAACATGGACTATTTATCTAAATCTAAAAGCGAAGATTCCATAGATTCAGGCGTATACAGCCCTTCTTCCACTGAAATAAATAATGAACAGAATACTACCAGCTCCCTTTCATTAGTGCGTCAATTAGCAGCACAATTTCCTGAATATGAAAGACAACCACACATGGAACCCTTTGGTGGTGTATGGATGAATCCAAACACGGAAATAGATGAAAGATCAAATAAGTCTGACACCGAAAGAGTCATTGAAGTTTCAAATAACGGTAGATTCGCAAAGCTGAATACTTTTTTGGGCAAAGGAGCTTTTAAGGTCGTTTACAAGGCAATTGATAGAGAAGAAGGCTACGAGGTAGCATGGAACGTACTTCAGGTATTGTTTGTACATAAAAATAATAATAAAAAACTTTTTATAACTAACGACCCATGTACAGGTTACAAGACAAGAAGTGAAGGCTCTGGGTCATGAAATCGAGATTTTAAAGTCAGTTAGACATCCAAACATCATTACATTTCATGAAGCTTGGTATAATGAATCTGAATTTGTATTTATCACTGAGTTGATGACATCGGGAACACTACGGGAATATATTCGAAAATTGTCTCCTCTGCCAAATATGAAGATTGTAAAGAGATGGTGTCGACAAATCTTGAAAGGTCTAGTGTATTTACATGGTCACCAACCTACGATTATTCATAGAGATATCAAATGTGATAATATCTTTATCAATGGTGCTCATGGAGAAATTAAAATTGGTGACATGGGTACAGCAGAAATGAAAGTTGATAAGAAGTACACTGTAATTGGAACGCCTGAATTTATGGCACCTGAAATGTATGAAGAAAAAGGATATAATGAAAAGGTTGATATATATGCTTTTGGTATGTGTCTTTTGGAAATGGTAACAGGCGAATACCCCTATAATGAATGTACAAATGCTGCTCAAGTTTTTAAGAAGGTCACCCAGACAATCAGACCTGAATGTTTATCAAGAGTGCAAGACCCTGAAGTGTTAACTCTTATCAATAATTGCTTGGCTTCAGAACATGATCGTATGTCTGCTTTGGAGATACTTGAACATTCATTCTTGGCTGTTGAACCCGAGGTTGTGCTATTGGCTACAGATATCACCATGAAACAATTGACCCTCCAGGTTGTCTTCAAGGGAATGGATAAATTATCTGTCAAATTTGAATTTAACGCCGATACAGATACAGCTGAAGATGTAGTAGCCGAAATGATTGAAGAACAGGTTTTACCTGAAAAATACCAACAATTAATAACAGGAGATATCAACAGATTACTTCGAGATCTAAATAAACAACAAAATTCAGCTGCTGATAAGATTGAAGATGATCGTATGGTTTGGAGAAGAGAAAACGATATCCGCTCAGAATTAGAACGTGCTAAAAAAGACTTGATGGCTGCAAGAGACAAAATTTTAGATGTTGAAAAAAAATGTGATAGTTTTGAGCAAAGAACACAACTCGCCGAAGAAAGATATAAAGATACCATTACAGCATTAGAACAAGCGAGATTGGCTAGTGAATTGGATCACGAAATAGAATTGCTAAACACTACTCCCTCGTCTACATATAATACCATACAAGGTCCTGAAGATCATGCTCCTATGGACTCATCAGGTAAATATATCATCACGGACTCTATATTGCAAACCACTAATTCACATACAGAATATCCCAATGATACAAGTATCGAGACATTTGTGCTAGAAACTGCTGCTGCATCTAATCGTAATAAGGATAAGGCTTTAGAATGGGTCCATAAACTTCAAAACCAAGACATCATGACAGTAGGCGATCTTCGAGATTTACATGATGAAGACTGGGCTGGGTTCGGGCTTACTGTATTTGCCCTTCGAGCTTTAAAAAATATGCTTGTTGGCCGAAAACAAACATTTCAAAGATCCAGGGCAACATCAAGTGGTACAAATACACCCATCGATGAACAAGAGCAATTTCTATAGATTTATTTGTAACGATACATGTTAGTCAAATTTGTTTATTCACTGTTCCAAAAAGAAAAAAAAATGATAAAGCGCTCAAAAATAAAATATAAAATCAAGAAAATATGAAATAAAATATCGTCTAGGGATAAGAGAAAAATTGTTATGAAGCTTGCAGTGAACTCATGCGAAAAGGGTTGGAATAAAGGTTGCTTAGAGAGTCAGCGTACGACTTAGTTAGGGAGATAAATCTGGAGATAGGTATAGGTATCTAGAATGCATGCTTTGTAGTGATATCGGATAATTTTAAAGTTATGCGCTCTCAAACGATTCCAGCTACTAGATATTACATCAAATTAATGTGACACATTTGTATCCATTTCGACATCCATGATATGCCTTACGAAAACAACATAAAAAAAAAGTCCAAACCGGAGGTAAGCAGTTTGCATGCTTATTGATTCCAATCGAAAATGAATCTGTTTATTGATATTAAAAAAAGCATACATCACATTTCGGTTTTCATTTACTGACCGAAAGTTTAATATGACCTCGTGGCTTATGTGACAGCTTTTACTTTCTGCTTTTTTAATTCCTGATACACACATTTTTTTTTGCTTTATTTTAAAAAGACACACAACCCCTTTTTACCTGTAAATATGGCAAAGAACAATGGAAAGAACAAAAAGACAGCACCCAAGGTGGTAGCTGAGGAGGAACAGCATGTCAAAAATGAGGAGAAATATTTGCGTGTGCAGTCCGATGCCGCTTCGACCAAAGTAAACATAATGTTAGAAAACTTTGCCTCGAGAAAAACGCATTGACATATTCCTTTTTCTTTTATGATTGAATTAGAAAATTGCTGACAAAAAGTTGAAGGCAAAAATTACACGACAGGAAAACCAAAGTCTTTCGGCTGCCCGTGCAGCTGCTAGAGCTGAATTATTGTTACAAGAAGAAGGCGGTTTCCTCGAAGCCGAAGGCATGGAAAAGACTTTTAAGTTTAGACAAGATCAAATCTTTGACAGTCTCGATGTCAATTCAGCAAGCAAGGTAAAGAAAATAGAAATACTTGATTACGCAATGACTAAATTCCCAAGTGAATAGATCTTTTCGCTCGACTTGCCTCAATATGGCCCTTATGCTATTGACTACACTAGAAACGGTCGTCATTTACTAATTGGTGGTCATAAAGGACATATTGCCGGTTTCGATTGGCAAACAGGTGGACTTCATTTTGAAACTCATGTTCAAGAAACAGTGCGTGATGTTACGTAAGTTTATATTTGTCTTTTGAAAATTCATGCTAATTGGTACGTCTTAAAATTTAGATGGCTTCACAATGAAACCATGTTAGCTGTAGCACAGAAGAAATACGTTTATATTTATGATAAATCTGGACTCGAAGTTCATCGCCTTACCCACCACACCTATGTCGATAAACTCGAATTCTTGCCCTATCACTATTTACTCAGTTCGATTGGTAGTAATGGATATTTGAAATACCAAGATACATCAACTGGACAACTCGTAGCCGAAAAACGTACTGGACTTGGACCTTGTAACACTATGACACAAAATAGATTCAACGCCGTCATCCATTTAGGCCACCAGAATGGTACAGTAACACTTTGGTCTCCCTCTATGTCTTCATCCTTAGTGAAAATGCAATGTCATCGTGGACCCGTTAAGGCAATGGCAGTGGATAAGGGTGGTCATTATATGGCTACATCAGGCGCAGATGGTCAATTAAAGATTTGGGATATTCGTACTTACGGTTGTCTTCAAGAATACTATACACCTCGTACTGCCACCTCTTTGGATATTTCAGATACAGGGTTATTAAGTGTTAGCTTTAATACTTCTGTACAAGTGTGGAAAGATGCCTTTAGAACGAAACAGCAATCACCTTACATGTCTCATACTGAAAATGGAAGCGTTATTAACGAGGTTAAATTTGTGCCCTTTGAAGATGTATTGGGTGTGGGTCATCAAAAGGGTATCTCTAGTTTGGTTATTCCTGGAGCAGGTGAAGCCAATTTCGATGCTCTTGAGGCTAATCCTTTCCAAACTAAGAAACAAAGACAAGAGACTGAAGTACACACATTGTTGGATAAACTTCAACCTGATATGATTGTATTGGATCCTACTCAAATTGGTAAGATCAACAAATTGACAAAGGCAGAAGTTTTGAAGAAACGCGAAGAGGAACTTGAAGCAAAATCAGACAATAAACCCGGAAAAGATAAGAAGAGAATGAGAGGTAGAAATTCCGCATTAAAACGACACATGCGTAAGAAGAACAAGAACGTTATAGATCATAAGATGGTAAGGCATTTTTAATTAAAGTGAAGGGTATAAATACTAATAATGACTATTAATAGGCTGATATGGATGAAAAGATTGCAGCAGATAAAGCAAATGAAGAGAAAGAGAAAAATAAGGATAAACCATTCACAACACTCGACATTTTTGAATAAATTAAATAATAATAATAATAAAAAAAAAATAGAATTCATAATATAATACATTCATGACAGCAACTTAAACTGTCCTTTTCATCTTCGGATGGGTTCTTGCTCTCCTTTTCTTCATTTAGTCGTCTTATTTCACGAACAATGCCATAAAAAGTTTCATCAATCCTTATTCTCTGTTTGGCAGAGGTTTCTAGGAATTGACACCCATAATGCTTGGCCAAAGCTTTTCCCTCTTGGTAAAATGTATTAGCACATGGGCGTAGTTATCTCCTATTTTTTCTTTTTTTCTTTTTCTTGTATATTTATTACCATGAGTTGGAACCTGTCTATCCTGTTCAATATCGCATTTGTTTCCGACTAAAATAATTGGAAAGGAATCAAGGTCTTTCACTCGCGCAATTTGATCGTACAATTTTTGAACCTGTTCAAAAGTTCGAATTGAAGTGATTGAATATACTAGTACGAATCCTTCTCCATTCCTCATATATTGTTCTCTCATGGCGCTATCAATAAAAAAAGTATTAGACAAATGACGGTTGCCTAGTGTTAGTATTACCTGTATTCTTCTTGACCCGCTGTATCCAAGATATCCAGTAAAGCACACTCACCGTCGACTACGCATTGTTTACGGTATGAATCTTTTTTAAAGTTTGCTTAAGTAACTATGACAATATGTATGTTTTATGCCTACCTTCAATCGTTGGGTCATATTCATCAACGAAATGCGATTGGATATATTGAATGGTCATTGCAGATTTACCAACACCTTAAATAAAAGTCAATATTATACCTTCTATAAGAGCAGTTGGGGTGATGTTTGTACCTCCTTCTCCTACCATGACAATTTTATATCTACTCTTGCGTTAGGTATATTATGATATTAGGCATAAAAAAATCTACCTACTCTCTTAGGATTGATGAAGCAGCAACTTTGGACATAGCAATAATAATAAACAAAGGAAAGAAGAAAACAAACTATCCTGAGTGAAGGAAGAAAAATCAAGTTGAAGGAGTTTATGATACCCAAAAGAAAAAAGGAGTGAAGTATCGGTAGTAAAATTAAAACAACATTTTGAAAGTGTATAATGAAAAGGAAACAAAGGAGAAATTCGGACCAAGGGGTGTGCATTTCATCATCTGAGCATACATAATCTTTATTTTGCATCGTAATATGATGCAATTTCATACAGCCAAAAGATTAGGGGGGGGGGGGAGAGACCCACAACTGGAACGAAAACCAAGATAAAATATGGATAAGCAGGAACTATGTAAAAAGGGAGTGAGCAGTAAAATAAATATGCAATCAGTTGTCAAGATGAGTATTGTCCCCCTTACCTCGATCATATCAAATATATTCGGTACCTTATTTTGCTGTCATTTATTTAATAGACTATGTGGTTGTACCTAATAAATTTTGTAAAGCGCATGTGATTAACATGTAATATTTACGCGCACACGCCAAAAATGGCTGAGATCGTTCGGGATTTTGCCATTTCAAGGAATTTGAAACGAAAACGACTCGGGTATTGACCCAGACGAACAAACCAATACGCCTGATTGGAGCAGTTTGCTATAAGCCAAAGTATATATATATACATACACATGAATGACTTACAAACAAAATGACCCCCAATAGCTTGGCAAACCGACTTTATTTTGGTATCTTCTCCATTTAAACAGGATTGTCCGGAACAAGTTTAATTATCAACCGTCGTTTGAGCCACATTGCATTTTAAAAGAATCATCACGCTAACTTTGTTCCTGATGGAATTGTTGAATGACCTTATTTGAGTTCAGCGTGTGTAATGTTTTCCTGAAAAGTATTGGTCGATAACGTTGGTAAGGATAAACGGGCAAAACCGTTATCTTTCGTATCTATGATCATTCAAAAATTGATTTGTTTATATTTTAGTTGCTCAAAGATGGAACTTCAATGCAAACACAAATTTGTTAAAATACCACACAGGCCAATTATACAACCCTGCGACAGAAAAAAATTGGAGTCGTCCTAATCGACCTGCTTGTAAGTATTGTTTTAAATCTTATAGCAAAGTTTCCGTCTGCTAAAGAAGAACAATCTCAAATCTTCCTTTTACTGCAGCCTTTTAAATGGTGTTTTAAGCATTATATTTCTAATTTAGTCCAAATGTGAGGCGTCTGTCAAGCGGCTGGCTTTAATTTATAATATACATGGATAATGCAGATGTATAGCTTTTGTTATTAAATACAAGACGACGGTCCTGCTGACTGACGACTTCTTCTGCTCATGTAAATGCGGATTTATTATTGTAATCATTCGGCATTGGGTGACGCTCAGTTTCTCTTACGCTTTTATATACAAATCGATACTTCCTCCTATCAGAAAAATTAACTAGCATCATTAACGGTAAAAAAACAAAATAAATGACGGCCCTGGGAAATAATTGGGTTTATTAAAGGCTAAAATGCAAATCTTTTCAATATTTTATCTATATTTCCATACTTATATGAGAGTATTTATCATCCTCATAGATTAAAGATAGCTTCAACAGTGATACGTTTCAATTTCAATAGTTGGGGCAAATGTTAATTTATGCTTTATTCAAAAGAAACAACTTGTTGAACCCACCTTATTGTAGATAAATGATTTTGTGATATCCGTTGTCTTTTTTTAAGTTTAGAATAACAGTTGAATATGAAGGGATATCGGTTAAGTCCAATAATTTACACAGTGATAAAAGTGTATGCAATTAAGAGCCTATATAGTTGGGGTAGCTTCCTGAAAAGATTTACATCAAATTGTAAGTGCGCAATCTGCTCTTAAATTAACATAAAATTTTGGTTCCCGGGATTTCCAAATGGGAAATTACGATTCCGTTTTCCCACACCCTTTTTTTTTTTCAACATGAGCGAACAAAGAGCTCCCTTATTCGTTTATTTAGATATTATATAGATGAAAGATGAGTAGTAAAAAAAAAAAAGGGTAGTACGGGTGATGGTAAGAGCGAAGACTGTTAAATGGTATAATATGGTGAATAAAAAGTGTAGAGGAATGTCAATGGAAACTTTGTTCTGTAAAACCAGAGAAAAAGTTATTTTCAGCCATCGGTGCATCAGCTGGAGGAGGCATGAAATTTACGTCTTCAGGTGTTATCGATACGCTATTAATGTCGTAGCTAATAGTATATACTCTTTCTCCTTCTTGTGACTGATTGACTGTGCCGTTTGCGATTCCAGAAGCACTGTTCAATTCATTAGGTGTCAAAAAGTCATTACTAAACAACGGGTTGAGCAATGGATTGAAAAATTCAAGATTACTGAAAGATAACAGCTCTTGTTGAGAGTTTTCATCATAAGTTCCTGTATCATAATTTTGATGAATTAAATTCATAAAGCTATCATTTGTGCATGTACTACTAGAGTCCACATCCAAATAGGGTGTACTGTAACCCAACAAAGGTTCTGTAAATGGCATGGTCAGACCCATCATTCCAGATATAAGATCGTGTGGTTGCTGTCCGTCTGTTGTTTGTAAAAGATCTTGTTGTAATTGTTTAACTTCTAAAGTTGGTGTTGGTTCTTCTTGTTTAGGCAGAGCGTATTCAATCTTGCTTTTGGGTGATGTACTGCCACTGACATCATCTTTAGAGAATACAATACGATTCATAAACTTGGTTTCTTTTTTAGTATCACTGTTAGTTGATAAAGTGCGAGTAGGTTTGGCTTTCTTTCTTGATTTAACTGTTTCACCATGAGGAATGTATTCTTTTACGGTAAGGTCATTTCCATTACCATCGGAGGAGACAGTACAAGAATTTTCCTTTCGCTTCCCCAAGGAGTTACCACCGAATGGGTCAAGTGGCGTTGCAAATGTGTTTTGGTCTATTTGATTTTGTGCCACACGCATCTCGTCCTCCCTTTCTTGAGCTAAAACAAACCGGTTGTCATACTGCTCTTTGAGATCAACAAGTGCATCAAACAATAAAGAAGGCGAGCCTCTACATTGAGGTAATTTTTCAAGGGTAGAGATACTTCTATAATAATTCTTATCTGAACTGAGTTTATCACTGTTAGGGCTTGTGGTAGCGTTCATGATATGGATACGAAGTGCCATAACGAGAGCATAGGCAATCATTGGAGACTTGGAATGATATATTAATTCACTGGGTTCAAGTCGGTAGGCGGCGTCAGTAATGATAATGGCAGCAAAAGTGCATATATCGTAAGATGGCCTTGAAGGATTTCTTGCCACAACAGAATCGTTGACATAGGGACGGTGAAGCAAAATAAGATTTGTATACAAAAACATTTTCTTTTGAAAGTTCATTCGTCTTGTTATTGTCGTTTCTGGTGGAATCACATTAGCAGCGCTAGATATAGGTGAATCTGGTTCTGTGTGGGGGTGCATGATATCAGTTAGCCAAGAATCAACACTTGCTAAAAAAGCATTATGCCTCTATATTTTATGTAAAAAAAAAAAAAAAAAAAAAGTTAACTTATGCCGTGATGCTTTATTGTGAGATTTGTTTTTACCTTTACAGGACCTGGGATTTTGAATGGAGGGGGAGGACAATAATTAAATTTGATAACACGAGCAGCAATTTTACTCAGAGAAATTAGAGAATTTAAGCCATCTAACCATTCAGTAGTACAATCATCATCAGTTGGTATCCTTTTTGGTGCCGTAACGTCACTGTTTACAAACAAGAGTTAGAGAGTCTGATCTTTTAATTTGTTTACAAAAAAAAAATAAAAAAAAAAATAATAGGGTTACTTACAGAACTTTCTCTTCTGTGGCTGAAGGTCTACCATAAGTCATACTTATGGTACAATCAGTAATGTAAGCCAGCCAAAAGGTTCTTATACACAGTTGGCCAAGAGCGTCTTCCTTTTCGGATATCAGTGACCGGTGTATTCCTAAATCTAGCGCGATCCGGAATGCTTCTCCGGCCCAGAGCCAAGATTTTGTAAGGTTCGCAGGAAGTTTTGTTTGTTCTAAATGATTTGCCATAATGATTAAAGCCAATACTGTGCTGACCCTTGGAGTATCTTTATAACAATTAACAAGAGATGATACATAGGTGGTGCAAGCATCACCAAGACCTTCAAAGGTTTGTTGATTATATTCAGTGTGTATACGATCTGTTTCCACATGAGCAGCACGTGCAAAAAGGGCGTAAAAAAATAAAGGTGAAAGATAGGTAGGCCTATTGTTCATTACTTGTTTAAGCTGAGTTTTCATATCTTCCTTATTTAAAATAGGGAAAAAGGGGTTGATATTTTCGTAATAAGTTTCAATTAAATAAAGTTGATCACTTTCAGAAATAAATGGCGCCTGAATTGGAGTTGGATCAAAAGTCGGAAAATTGCATTCTTCTTTTATAGCTTTAGGTTGAAGTTCCGGTTGAATATATCCACAAAATGATGTTTCTCCAGCGTAGTGACCAGAAAGTAATGTGCCAGGTTTTCGAAAAACCGTTGTTGATGGTATAATGTCAATATTTATTAGTGTGGCTGCTGCAGGATTTCGGTCAAAAGAAGATGCATCAGCCGGCCCCTTTCCCTTGTCATTTTTGTTTAAAGTGTTATCTTGTTCGTCATTAACAGGATTAACATGATACATACAAGAACATGTTTGTCTTTGGCAAAGATTATCTGGTGTTGCATTGTTATCACACTTTGTTTTCTTTTTCTTGCAGTTTTCACAGGCCTTTTTTTGTAATCTAGGTTTTTTCTTTTCAGGTTCACAAGCTGAAGGTGGATTAAAAAACTTGTATTCGATAGAGGTTGGAGAGGTTGGATTACGCAAAGCATCAAGAACTTCTCGTGCTACCACTTGTAGTTTCTTTAAAGAAGGAAAAGGTAATGGGGGAGGTTCTTCAATCATTTTTTTTTTTTTTTAAGGAAAAAAAAAATGTGGAGAAAAGAAAGGAATAGAAAAATAAAAAGGAAACGCGAATAAATATAGATGTTGTGTATACGTTACTCACGATTGAAAACAAGTACACAAAAAAAAAAAAAAAAAATACTAAGCTGTTGTGTGTATTATGTGAAAAAGTATATATTTATTTTTTTTGTATATCGTGATTCTTCTGCTTTCTACTTTGTGTCGCTAGTGTGGAATTTGTCTTTTCGATTTGTACTCTTTAGATGGTGAATCTGTTTTCGCTTGATTTAGCTGCTGAATCACCGTGGGGAGTGAATTCTACAACTAAAGTGTTGTTAAGGTTGAGAAACTCTTTCAATTGGCGACTATTATGATGATTATTATTATTAGTTTTATGTATTCTACCATTTTCCCGTACCAATACACATTACCCAATAGTCTCAATCTTTTCATTTTTCTCGGAACTCTTGATCCACAAGGCAACTCTATAAAAAACCTTACGCACAGAAACAACAGCACCACAAATTTCATCTTCATACTGGAATTGCTCACCCAACATAGCAAGAATCTATAGTATATATTATAAATAACATGTACATGGACAAAAACATGATTTATTGTTACCAAATTAAGCCAATAGTCGTTGATAGATTCACCAGTTCTATTTCTGGGAAATTGAATACTGAACTTACCACCGTTGGCGTTGGCGGCATCTTCCCACTCGGGACGAATTCCCTTCTTAAAGACATGGTAATTTGAGCTGATTTCAAGATGGTTTACTTTAACAATGTTATTGTGAACACTAACAGTTAAATTGTTAAGATAAAGAATATAGAGACCATACACCTTAATATGATAAATACCCCCAAAAGTCTTCAACTGTGTCAACATTAACGATCTCCTTCAAGTTTTGAGACCAAGAAGCAGCATTAGCCTTCTTTCCTGGGTTATCGAACCATAAAGTCCAGGTATTTTGAAGGGGATGCTTAACATTATAATTTTTGGCATCGTGAAAAACAGTTCTTACACTGTTGTCGTCATTATTTCCTTGTTCGACAATAGGTTCTTGTTCTGCAACATCAATAGGACGTGTTTCTTGTTCAGTCATTTTAATATACTATTTTTATTTAAAAAAAATTAAATAAGTGCCAATACGCTTTGTTTTCTATTCTTTCTTCTATTTATTTATGAATATATTGACAATTACCCTTTCTTTTATTGTTATTTCAAGGAATGACTAACAAAAAATAGAAAAAAACCTTTCAATTATTTCGAAACTAGCACTTTCTTTGCCGGACCGTGACGTTGGATCACACCCGGATTATTTGATTGACCGCTAACAAGAAGTTGCGAAGGAGAATCATTGCATCAAAAAGATATTTGGCCTAAACATACAGAAACCCCCTCTCTATCTGCGGTATGAAGGTCCGTAAAACCATGAACAATAAACGATACATACAATCATCAAAACAGATGGATGAATTATCAAATAATATCATTAAAATAGATTATTTACCATTTTTTTTTTTTTTTTTTTTTTTTTTTTTTTTTTTTTGGGAAATTATAGTTGAACATTGCCAACCCAGCCACTGGCTGCCAAAAATTGATCGAAATCGAAGATGAACGTCGTCTGTAAGTTTCTTACCTTTATGCAACAATCAACAACAGTCCAGTACCAGCAATGTTTAATTGGAATCCATATAGAACGAGATTTAGATTAGATTCATGTGGAGAATGATTAGACATTGCTGTCTGTCTGCTATGAAACAGTAACTAACGTTCTTATTAGTCGTGGTTTCTATGATAAGCGTATGGCCCAAGAGGTCTCTGGTGACTCCCTCGGTGGTGAGTTCAAGGGATACGTTTTCCGTATCTCTGGTGGTAACGATAAGCAAGGTTTCCCCATGAAGCAAGGTGTCCTTTTACCTTACCGTGTCAAGCTTTTGATGTCTAAGGGTCACTCTTGTTATCGTCCTCGTCGTACTGGTGAGCGTAAGAGAAAGTCCGTCCGTGGTTGTATCGTCGGTTCTGACCTCTCTGTCTTGTCTCTCGTTGTTGTCAAGCAAGGTGAGCAAGAAATTCCTGGTCTTACTGATACCACTGTCCCCAAGCGTCTCGGTCCTAAGCGTGCTTCCAAGATCAGAAAGTTCTTCGTATGTTTATCTTATTACAATAATAATTTGCATGAATTTACTGACATTTTATTTATATCAATTAGAACTTGACCAAGGAAGATGATGTCCGCAAGTATGTCATTCGTCGTGAAGTTACCCCCAAGGGTGAGGGTAAGAAGTCTTACACAAAGGCTCCCAAGATCCAACGTCTTGTCACCCCCCTTACTCTTCAACGTAAGAGACACAGACAAGCTCTTAAGCGCAGAAGAGCCGAAGCTTCTCAAGAGGCCGAGTCTGAGTACAAGCAATTACTCGCTAAGCGTGTTAAGGAAACCAAGGATAAGAAGATTGAACGCCGTCGTACTTCTTCTATGCAAAAGTCTGCTTCCGCTTAAACAATTTAACAACTGTTTCCTTCATTAAAAAAAAAAATAATAGTTTTTTCATTCGACTACAATATTTCAAAAGAAAAGGAAAGGAAAAGGTCGAAATTATTATTTTCCGTTTTGTTTTTAAATAACTTGTATACGTGTTTTTTATTATTGTGAAGGGTTATGTTTATCATGTTGGAGTGAAATTGCATTATTTTATTTGGTAAGACTAATCATGCTTAGACTTATACGATCGCACAATTCTTTTTATCGATTCGATTGTATTATTTACATTGGCCTGAAATGCTGTGTTATTATTACCACCAACTATAGGTACATTAAAAACGTCAGTAAAGCTCCTATTTAAACAAATAAAGTTAAATGCTTTACCTAAATCTTGGTCTGTGATCGGGGTTATACTACTGGTGATTATATCAGCAACGTCAAATTGCAACATTGCATTGTGGATTTGATTGATGCCTTTATTGGCCTATATATATTGATCGTTTAGATTTTTTTTTTACCGTTATTTAAACACTTACAAAATCGTCCGAGTATTGTTTGTGAGAGCTGATAAAACACATGATGGTGCCCACTAACTTAATGCGTTCTAAAGAGTTCTTGGTTAATTGGCGCTTATCCTCCTTTAAAATATTGACAAGCGTAGCTTGTTGCTTTTCAACCCATCTTTCGGCCTAATAAAAACGTCAGTATATGGATTATTTGTATTCGTTTCGTCCTCACCCTTTCCAGCACAGTCTCATTCTCGCCACGATAGCTACAGAGAATAGCTACCACCAACTTTAGTGTTGGCATTAGTAATTGTTGATAGCGTTCTGCTAATTCTTCAGAGTGGCCAACGTTTGTTTGTGTGGTGATATAATCTTGTTGTTGTGCTTTCATGAACTGGCATTGACCAAGAACTTCAAAAATTCTATTTCTAAATAACAGTTCCGCACCTTCTGGGTTCATTGCAAGACTAAGGAGAATAGACATTTTAGCCTCAAATATATACAAGGGCAGTAAAGCAGCTAATAAGACATATATTAGTTCAATCGCAATAAAAAGGAGGGATGATGTGTAATGATATTTACCATCTGTTTGTTCTAACAAGTTGATTAAAGCTGCGTCGTCACTTTTAATCATCTCAATAGTATATTGTAAAAAGTTGTTTTGAATCAAGTAGCATTGGACAATGTCACTACCAGCGCGGAGGGCAGCCTTGTTTAAACCATCCAAACCGATATACGCGGTAGTCTTCCAGATTTCAAGACCACGACTGGCATCAACGCAAATAATTTCAAGTAGCTTTGAGTTCTGACAGCTGATATGGTCCACAATGTAGCTCTCGAGTTGGACATAGGAGTCATCTTTACCATGGCCATTAATGTACAATAAAAAGCTGGTCATGGCAGAATACATATCTCCTCGAACTTCAAATGTTGTATCATCCAACCGAATACAGTTTACAATACCATTAAAGATTAACTTGAGTTTCTCAATTGGTAATTGAGAGGCAGGTCTTGATTTCTTGTCTTTCCTCAAACGGTTAATAAGAGATGTAATGACTTCACTCATACTCTTGAGCATATTCCCGTCATATTCTTTCGTTTGCATTATCTTGTTAAGTAGCATGTTTAACAATTCGTACACCATATTTTCGCGATGCTCCACTCCAATAAGATCAAAGCATTCAATGATTGTCACATGGATTACTTCTTTCCAAGCTTTTAAGCAGTGGATCTTAGCAAAGGTGATTTCCTTAAGATGATTTTGAGCCATGCACCAGTTAAGAATAGATCCCATCTCGGTCTCAACTGCGTCGTTGTCTGGTGTGTTGATGAAATGTATTTCTTGTGTAGTTCGTAAATCCTTGTAGATATTTCGAACATCATAAATTTGACAGCCACGCTCGTTAATAATTTCGTATGATTTTACGTCAAAACCATTGAGATGAACTAATTCTGACACCTTTAAATCCAATGTAAGTTGATCAACCCATGTGAACTCTAATGAACTGACGAATTCGAGCATTTTAGCCAAAGGCTGTTGAAATGATTGCGATACAGAAAAAATGCTATTGTCTAGTTGATCCTGTGCGTCCATATCGTCATCGCCAAAAATATTTTTGCGTCCATACAATAACTCTATCAATTTTCTGGCTTCGTTTTTTTGTTCCATTCCGATGGTTGTATGCAATTCTAAGGCAATGCACTGTAGGATCCATGCTCTTTGATGAAGTTTAGATCGTAATCTAAAGAAATCTGTCTTATGTTGCGTTCCATCTGCACAAATCATGGTTCCAGGAAAAGATGGTGATTCCATCTGAATATTGTACTCGATGCGAGAAGAAATTCTGTCGAACTGTTTGTAAAAGAAGTTTTCTCGATTACGCAAGTAACGCATTGTTGACACAGAAAGTGATTGCTTGGAGCATAATCTATATATAAGTTCATAACACTTTTCGGCTAAGATAGGGTGAGTATCAATTAACGGAAGTGTTGGGTCCGCATTGTCTTCCATCATAGAATCGGCTAAATGATAATGCTTCTCGATTCCCTGACGCATCATATCCAAAATGGTATGGAAACAAACTAAAGTTGCCTTGTTTTCTTCCGTATCTTGAATCCTATTCAGCGGGTTTCTATTAGTCAAATCGTATCCTAAGAGGAACTCTGCCATAGTAGTCGAAGAATTATCTTGTTTAGCGTTATCTAAAAGGAGATCCAATATAGCGAGTCGTACGGATGAGCTGACACGAGGTTGGTAATCACTAATCTCATTATATGTGTTTTCTAAGGTTTCTTTGGCGAGCCAGAAAGGAATGTTGTTTGTATCAAATTCATAGTCATCACAAGTAGTAGTTTCGGGAATATTGATGCTTAATCTTTCACTAACACCAAAGATGATAGCATCTGCGGATCTCGAAGTACTTAAAACACTTGTAAGATTTGAGCCTAAACCATACAGAGCAGGGGATGAAGTAACATGGCTAAGCATCATGACCTGGTTGGTGATAACACTTGATTCTTTCTTGTCTACTGAAAGACGATTGAGAATTTTGGTGCTTAAGAAGCAAATTTCTTCCTGATCTCCATAATTTATTAACAAGGCGATTCGTTCGAGGACTTCTGAATTGAATAACATGAGTTGTCCAAGTGGCACCACAGAGGGTAAAGGAGCAAATGTGTAATCACCAAGCTGAAATTCTGATGAAGCATTTCTCTTGGAAAACCCGATGATGTAGGGCAAAAGTATTTTACAAAATGTGGTTTGAAGATCCAAGACTTTGAGTAATATACGTAAAGCGCGAAGAAGGCATTTTTTATGGTAAGGCAAGTTTTCTACTTCTTTGGTTTCCCTCTTAGCGCATTCTTCAATAATGGTGAATATTTCGTTGATAACACGTCCACCAGAGAGAATACGGATAATCACTTGAAATCCAGGATGAGTCAAATAAGCAAGTAGATCATTCTGGATGGAAGGAATAGGTGAAGCTAATTGTAAGTTTCGGTTAAGTTCTGCCTGGATATGCTCCTCTTCCAATCTTTCCAAATTAAATGCTTCAATACTATTTTCCATCACCAAAAGACACGCTTCGGATAATTCCCATTGAGCTTCTGCAAAAGCGTATTTCTGATTAGGAATAATAACGAAAATGTCGTCCACAATAAGAGAAATAAAAGGAGTAGCACCAGGGTTCTTGGTGTTTTTACCAAGGTCAATAGGGATACTTGATTGAGTCGCTTTAAATCCTGATACAAGCTGTTCGCGCTTACTTTGCGTGTGTATAATTGAACCAATTAAACGAATCACTGCCAAAGTTTCTGTGTACACGCGGCTAGCTTTTTCGGACTCTAACTCTTGTAAGATACCAGCAGGTTTGGAGACTACTTGAGATTTGTCCTTTTCGAGTTGAACAGATTTATGCTTTGGAAGTAACATATCGCTATCTTCTAAAAACCTCCAAACTTGCAAAGATATTTCGGAGCCGACACCATCTACACCACCACCCCAGGCAGACGAGAAAGCTGAAAGTACATCAAATAATGCAGCGCGAAGTTGTGTTGATGTAGGACAGCTTAGGATATCAATCAAGGTATATTGAACTTGAATGATGTTACTGTACCAAAAAGTGAAGCGGGCTTCTTTAGAATATTGAACTGTTTGCTTGAGAATGATCAAGAACTTCATGATCAGTTCTTCCTCGATAGTAGGAATGATAGCATTGGTTTCTTCGGAATTGGACTTTAAAAGATTAGCATAAAATGTTAAAGCAGAAAAAGGCTTTCCCCATGAGAACAAAGCACTATCGCCAAGTTCAGCAGTAACACCGTTCATAAAGAATTGGAACATGTGTGTAGCGCAAGCATCACCTGTAGCAATAGATCCAAGAAAATCAAATGCGGCACAAACAGTTGAAACGATTTTAATATCAAGCAACCAGCGAGTAAAGTTGTTTAATCCAGTTTGTTCTTTATCCCAGAAAATAACACCGGCATTTGCACGGTCCCGATAGATGCTTGCCAAAAATGTAAGAAAATATTCCACATCATGGCACTGTTTGTTGCTTTCTGAGCTACTGATAAGAGCATTTTCTGTTGTAAGAGGCGCCTGTACAGGTGTATATGTATCTTCTTCTTTATATTTCAGTTGTTGCAAATAATGAAATTGAACTTGAATGACAGCTACACCTAATTTTTCCAATTCATAAATGACAAATGGGTGGAAATCGATACGAATGTCTGCATTATAGTTATGATAATCTGCTTTATCAACTTTCTTTGTAGATCTGGCGTCGGTAGAACTATCGTATTTAATCACCTTACGATTAGTATCAATTGATGCATTGGGTTGTTTGAAGTATAGCAAATATTCATTCATGAATCGAAATACGTCTGCGTCAAATGAGAGTTCAAGCAATTTTTGGATATCCGCATCGCTTCTATTCAGATATTCACTTGAAATAACTTTACTAGCTCGTACAGGATCACTTAAATATAAGATCCATTGAAGGACGATAACCGCCTTAATGACAGGTACTTTTGAGCCATGTGTCATGATTCGATTGTGAAACGTTTGGATAAATTCTAAATTTTCTGGACTTGGGGATTCTTCGATTGTCTGGTTTTCTGAAGATAGTGCCGCCAGCATAGCGGTAATGACATAGGCTGTGGCAGGGTCGGATAATTCAGCCTCTTCTAATAATTTGAGCATGGCCACTTTATCCTCGGTTCTGATATCAAAAAGAGAAGCGATATGATAAAGAATCTGTACAATATAGATACGTTCATCTCCTAGTCGTTCTATACGCAATTCTGAAATATCCTCTCCAAGTTTTCCACTTCCAGCTTCAGGTACATGTCCAATCACAGATCCGGTGTTTTGGATCAATAAAATTGTGTTACTGAGACTTTCTAACGTTGATATGATCTTTTGTATAAAGGTAATTGAAGTATTGTTCTTTGCACTAATACTTTGCTTCATGATTTCCTCCATAAATTCGTAGCAGACAGAGCGGACTTCATTGCTGACAGAGGAATCTTTTGCTGAATTCAATATGACGTCGAGACAGGCCAATAAGTAACCTCGTTCACCGTGGTAAAGTAGAACAGCTGTATCGAGAGCATTGCTGCTGACACGAGTAGCTTCAGTAGTTCCACGCATTAAAAGAGTTGCGGCCACATATTCGTTAATGTCAAGTTGATCGGATAGAAACAAAGCTTTGGTGACGAATTCTTTGCTTACGTTGTGCGCAGTTCGGTCGATATAAGCTTTATCTACGCAATGATTTAGTCTCATGGGTCGAATTAATAAACAACAGAGAATTACTTACTAGAGTTGAGAGTTGCTCTGTGAGACGAGTTTTTAGGTACATTGTCGAGTAAATTTATAAACCGCTCTTTGTTCATTTGAAGTTGATGTTTTAATTCATCTGCTGCTTCGACATTCACACGTGCCTGGCAAATTGCATCATGTAAGCTTCGGTTTTCTTCAGCCCATGTTGGAATGCTGTACGTGTGGGACATTTTTTTTATTAAAAAGTCGTCCAAGCGATACTGAATAATTGTTTTGAGCTACGCGTGAAGATATTTTTTTTTTTCTTGAGCATCGACAACACGAGAAAATAGTGACTGTTAAATTAATATAAACTACGAAAGTGCACTGCAAAGTTGATGTCCCATCAATCCTCTCTTCCTTAAAAAAGGTTTGTATCTACACTATCCCTAATTGTGTTAATGCGTATTAACTTGACTGCGTACACAATAATTGGGTGATAATGATTAAACATAGAGAACTGATATATGGCTCGTATATAAAATGCGCAACTACAATTCCGTAAACAAAAATCTTGACTAAAAATTTAATCATTTTCCTTCATGTTTATGATTGCAATGTCATCTGACAGAATGTGAAACAGCTTTCACACGCGTGTAACAAAACAAATATTTTTTTTGCATTTAAAATACGAAATTGATAAATAAGTATGATGCAAAAAGAAAAGATAAAATTTTTCTCTTTCCTCCTTATTCTATTACAACCTTTATCATTACCGCTGCCGGTAAACCATCAAGCGAAAATATTTTTATATCATTTACTTAGTCTTATGTATGATATCTGTAGGTCCCATTTACTCTAGCTTTACTCATTACATAAGGAGAGTCTTGAAGACTTCGACTTACTGGAACTGTCCCTCGGCCATCCATTAACCTTGGTTATGAGGTATCTAGCACCTATGTTTTGATTGAGTTGTTTAAGTACTACATGATAGTTTAAACTAACAGTAGATCTCCCTAAGAAGAGAGGAAATCCATGTAGAGGGTTTCAATTTGAATAAAGCTGAAAACGGTACAACGGAACCTACTCCGATGAGGAATAAGTGGAATTTCTTAATCGTCAATTATTTGGACAGACAAGATATAGCTTTGACTTCTGGTAGTTCTGTTCTATTGCGCTGGGAGTTTCATGGTGATAGAGACATCCTATTCATGAAATGGCGCAAGTCTTCAGTGTATTAAGCGGATATCACAGCATTAAAGCAATTGTTTTTAAGCTTAAGCGTAGGCTTAAATCGATACCGATTTCTTGTAAGTATTTTAACAGTTGCATATAACATTGCGTTCTCAATTAAAATAACTAAAAATTAATTGTGTCAGTTTTTAGAACCTCGTGGGGAAGAAAAATCGGTCTTTTAAAAGGAACAAAGTTCCTAGCCATACGCCTACAAAATCTAGAACAGGAGGTGGTTACGCCATTACAAGTCAAACAGGCGTTAAATCTAAGACGAAAAGTATCATTTGTAAGAACTTTGTATATTGCTTATTGGAAAAATACAAATCTCTATTAATTACTTACCTATTTGCATACAGTTAGTGTGTCATGGAAGCAGACAGTATTCCATCACGTGTATGTATATGTTTTTATAAACTTACTATCTATCTTTATTGATTGTATTCTTTGATTCAGTTTGAATGTTTAAAATGAAATACCATACATCTTGACCCCCCTCCCCCGGCTTTAATTACCGAGTATAGCTATATGGCGAAGCTTTAATCAGAACTACTTGAGTTGATGTATGGTCCAGATGCAAACTACATCAAGTGGAGATTATATGTTTTTATTACCACCGCCGCCATAAATGCAATTGGATATAAAGTTTATGGACGTATACTTTATAAAATCGACCTAACTCAAGAAGCATTGGATATCTGCCAGACAGAAGCTGCCAAAGCTACAAACAATATTCAGAAAATAGCCATAGATAAAGTTAAGTTAACCGTTAAGACTAAACGTAGCTTTGATGATACTGTTTCTCGGCCAAACTTTCTGACAACAAGGTACTCACACGAAGTCCTGAATTTTCAACTTTGCGGTGTCTAGGGCTAGGCCATTTATAGTGTGATCCCTGTTTTCTACAGTCTGATCACAGCCATTTATTGTTTGCTCATTGCAATTTTACAGCTCTAACTTGATTTAAAACTTGGTCGACGAAATGAACATTTACCATTTTTCGTCGAGGAACCCGGAGGTCAAGTACTTTGAATACTCTCCAAGCTATAAGTGGGATTTTGAATCCTACAAAAAACACATGATGGACAAGAGGGTAAAACCTAAGGCGGGCGTTATCTTTGCTAAGTACAAACATTGCCTTAATTTATTGGCGCGTTTTGATGACCTATCTGCAAATAACAAGCGTATTCTGGAAGGATTGCTTAGGAAATGGGTAATATTATATTAATCTTTTGACGATTTATATTATACTTTTATAAACTGATCCCAACGTGTTGATAGGAAACGTCGTTTGACGAACAGCAACAGCAACAGCACCAACAACAGCAACAACAACAACAATCGATTAGCAATGTATTTAACAACTATGACGGCCTGCAAGCCAATAGTGTTAGTATGTCGACTTCTGGTGAAAGAGTGATAGATGAATGCAAAGTAAGTGATGCTGAGTCATTGAATACACCTGAAAGTTGTCAAGCTGGTAAGTGATCAATGTTGTGGTAATTATGGGACAAGAGAATAAAATGAAACTTTTGATAACTTTATTGTTTTTTATGGGTAATAAAAAGACAAGAAGGATCCGTCTAGTTGAACAGTTAATTCCTGCTTTTATATGAGGTTATTAGTAGTCACAATAATGAAAATTATTGTGGATTATGATCATGTAACCTAATTCGACTACGGTAAATATGGCTAAATACCACACATGTAACACATTCAGAATAGGAGAGCACTAACATGTAATTAAAGATTGCATGATTGGCCTAAATGCGATATACGAATGACAGTTGGATACAGAATGCTATACCACTGAGTTAAGATATCACCGATCGAGAAGAGAATCGTTCCCATACTTCAAATTTTAGAACATAATTCTTCGTCGTCAGTTTTAGTTGAAGATTCAGAACCAGCGTCTTTTATAACAGACACATCGGATGAATCATTTCAAGCAATCGAACCAGCCTCCGACTTAGGTGAATGTCTCAAGCTACGCGAATACATCCTTGAACTGAAGGAGTTCGGTAACCCAATGCCTACAAATCAAGTTTTTATTCATAGTATGGATAATGCGTTAAGCTTGGATGAGAGATTGTAAGTTTATAATATGTAAATCATAATCCGGTATACTTATATATATGATTCAGACGGTTGTCTTTGATCAAGTACTGCGATAGTTGTCCTGCAGAACTCTCATTAAAGCCCAAGGAGTTTTCTGATGAAACGTATACAGAAATAAGGAAACGGAGAAGAGTAAGATCATACATGTGAAAAAAAAAATTAATTGATACTTACAATTTCTGAAGTCAAGAGTAACAGGAGCAGAAAACTTTTCCCGCCTGGTTTCAGATCAAATTATAAAAAATTATGGGTAGCCTCCAGTCTTTACCGTCTCAATGTACACCAAGTGATCCCTCGACGGATGAAGACATAATCTAAAAACATTTGCGCAAATTTTTAGCCAATTTATTAGAAACATTGGACAGACCACCAGCGACAGTTGCTAGCAAGCAGTCTGAATTCGATTACTACATGCAAACCGTTTCCATAATTTTGCGGTTCATTTTTAATTCTAAATCAAAAATCAAGATCGCCTGGAAAATGTCTTATTTGAATTTAAAAATGATTGATTTTCATCTACTTTTTTGTTTATTTTTCACATTTAGGGAAACGCCTTCTATCACTAATCAGACTACCCTAGGAAAATTAGTGATTCACGACTTTGTATTGTATAGTCAATACTAAGAATTAGGCTGTGGAGAAATAAAAGTGGATGGTGCTGATGATAAATTGAAAGACGAGGACAGAACCCGAATAGGCGAACGATTAAAAAAGCAACTCCACTGTCGTATAAAGGAAGCAAAATCCGAAAGGATATTCCATGTCTTTGGAATGTTCATCGCCGATAATATTGTAGAGCTTTATCACAGTTCTTTTTCTAAAGAAGATGGTTATGACTTTGTACTATCAAGTAAATTAATTCTTCCGACATTAAATTCAACATACACTGCAATTGAGGAATCAATTGAAATTTTAAGTAGTTCCAAGGTAAAGTTGTTATCATTTGAAGCATTTTAAAGGTCATATAATCTAAGCTTATTATAACAGGAATCAATCACCAAAACAATGCAAGAACCTTCGGAGTGTACTAAAATCGCATATAAAATCCTTCCATCGATCCTTGATCGACAGGTACATAATATCATAACACTCATAAAAAAACAATAGCATATAAAATATCCTGAGTTATACATTTACAACTCAGGGTTACTAGATATTCCAATAGAAGATCCCATTTCGAATAATAGATTGGCTACACTGATAAGACTCATCAGTTATTAGTAAATACAGCCAATAATACCAAGTGAACACAAACTAGCCCATAATTTTACCCACGCTTTAAATAACTATAAATACCCCCCCCTTTTCTTTCAGAGATGAAAGAGGGATTTTTGACTTTTAAGAAGAATAAAAAAGCCTACAAGCAATATTAATCTTATTCTTCCTGTTTTTTTATCTCTTATTTTTCCGTGTCAAACAAACCGTTTTTCCACACGGAGCCTGACCAGCCTTATGTATACTCTCAATACTTTAAATACTTCAAGCCAACAATTTCTTTCATTTAAATCTCTCGATTGTTTAGTTCTTCGTTATTTTAGGTCTCTTTGATGTCAATGAAAGTAATGTAAATAGTTTATATCGATGCTTTCTAGAAATGATTGGACCTATTAATCATTTTAAAATCTTACCGGTCGTATGTGATTAGTATCGGAAGCGTATATCATCTTATAGACCCTTATACCTTTTAGTTTTTCAAATCCAAATAAATAATGAATCTTAAATTTCTTATATCATAAACAATGTGGATATAAATCATAAATTGTGCGTTATAAAAATCCTTTATATGAAAGTTAATCAGATAATTACCCATATTTTTGGGATTTTCTGTTTCTAATATTTTTGTGATTATAATTGGGTTGCAGTTGTAACCACAACCGATTATATAAGTAAAAATTAGAAAACTAATTTCGAATAACACAGAAAGTGCTAGATGTTGGATCTATTAAGCAAAGTGTTTGGGATAATGAAAAATTGAACATAATAACTGAACATTGTTTACTATTGAGTCTGGCTCTCAACTCATAACTCAATTATGATGGTATAGTTAGCAGAGGTTTTTTCCAAAAAAATTGACTAGGTTATAGTCCTTATTTTTTGAAGAAAGATATATTTGGGAGTACAGACAGCAGATCATCCGACAATACTTGATGCCGAAGTGTAACGAGCAATCATATTAACCTGTAGCGTATCTTATTATGTATGTGGGCTGAGTCAGAAACGCTTCACAAACATACCGAAGGAGTTTTTAATTAACTGTGTGGATGATCACGTAAATATTTATTAATTTAAGCTAGGATATAATATAAAATTAGGGTTTATAAACAAAGTTGGGATTTTCTACATCCGTCAAATCTTTGATTTCACCAGTTAATGCAATAGCATTTTTGTCCAGATTATTGCGCTTCTTGTTGGCACAAATATAAGTATAACGTACATAACCAAACAAAATAATTACTAGAACATTAGCAGCAACATAGACACCCATTGCAGGATAGTAACGAGGGGAGTCCTTTTGGCGAAGCAAAAGTGGGCCAACAAAATTACCCACTGTGTAACAAATCAAATTGGCACCAATGTAAAAGATTTTCTTGGTGTAACCAGAAACATTACTTGTGATAGAAGCTTGAAGGAGAACGTAGGTTGGTGTTCCGCCAGATTGAAGATAAATACCAATAAGTTTTACACCACCAGAAGGTATCGCAGTCAAACAAATCAAGCCCACCATGGAAATAAAGCAACAGACCATAGCAACGTATATAATTTCACCCTTTGATTTACTGATATTTGTCGAAATCAAAATTAAAATAATGATTGTGACATTTGTTGGAATATTAAGTAGGATAGCGTTGGTATTAGAGAAGCCTAATTCTGTAATAATAATATTGCTAAAGATGGTAAATGCACCGTTTTGAAGATTAATAAACACCGAAATCAAACTATAGCAGTAGAATCGAGGCTCTTTGACAGCTTCCCAGAAATGGCTAAAATTAATCTTTTGGGTAGCAACAACCGCATTGTCGCGAGTACGTTCTTGCACGATCAGTTTCTCTTCTTCTGTTAATCTAAACCATCGAGAGTCGGGTCTATCGGGCAAAAAGAAAAAGTAGCTGATACCAATAACGATGGTAATGGAGCCAAATAAGATAAAAGCCCACTTCCAGGGAGTGATAATGCCGACTATAGGCATTTTCATGATACCAACGCCAATAAATCCACCCAATACACCAGCAACACTGTTACTGATAAACATAACGCCTAACCAAATAACTTGTTCTGATCTTCTGTAAATGGTCGATATTAACAAAAAGATTGTAGGATAAGTGATAGCTTCGAAAAAGCCCAATAAAAAACGTAAACCGGCCAGTTGACCAAAATTTTTACCAAATGCCATGCATAGCAAGACAATACCCCATAATACCAAACAAATGCCAGCATATTTTGAGACTTGGACTTTTTGAAGCAAATAATTATTTGGTAGTTGCATGCATAGAAAACCAACATAGAAGAAAGAACCTAGCCATGTGTATTTATCTTTTGTCAGGCCTGTATCGGTATAGAATTCTGGAATGACACTGATCATTGAGATAGTAGATTTGTCAATGTACTGATAAATTATATTAGTTTAACTGTAACATTGAAGATCAGATGTTACTTACTTGAATAAAAAGTAGAACACAAACAAATGGCATAAACGTATAGTTGATCTTCTTGACTAATTTCTTTTCTGCATCGGATTGGACAAAGGGCAAACTATCAACTGAACATGATTCTAATTTTTCATCCTGTGTGTTTTTCTCAGAATCCAGTTTTATACTTTCAGCTTTCATTGTAATATAAAAAGACGAAGAATTTCAAAATGAACCAGAAAATGATTCCTTTTAAGTAATGCAACACAAACTTTATATTTTGATATCTTTCCAGTCACCTATCTCTGTACATTCGGTATCAATTAGTAGATAACCCATACGTGGGAATACGTTAAATGTTGACATTTTTAAAGATCTTGGGAAACAAACACGTTACACAAAATGACTAATGGAATTGCCTTCATAATCACATTTATGTCATTGCGGACAACCAAAGTAAAAAAGTTCATAGTGCGGACAAATGAGAAGGACTTTCAGACAGATAATGGAAACAGTTTTCTGATAGCAGTAAATAAGCTACTTGGGCGACTGTGAAATAAAAAAAAAAAAAAATGGACAAACAAGCCAATTTTATCCAGACTAATACCTTGCATAGTTCCTTACCAAGACTTGTATCTTGTAAGCATTGGGGTGTCTAACGTTACAAAGGCATTACTTTGCCAACCCTTTTATACTTATAGCCCAAAAGTGAAGATGAATTTTGAAACTATATGAAAACTACTTAAATGAACGGACACATAAAAAACTAGTAGATACAACCTATCAAAATTCAAATCACTTAGACCCAAAACATTTCCAGAGCACTTGTCCGGAAACATTGCAATGTATTGAATCTTTGGCGGAAACTTTCTCAAGGAGGTGACTCATACGGGTCGTTATTTAATTTTCACAATTTTAGAACAGCCCAAATCAAATGAAACAAACACTATCGTATACAATGTGCCCCTATAGAAGTCTGCAATAAACTCATTAACGGTAGAAAAAAGTATATTCTAAGCGAAGAAAGAAATCTGAATCAAATAAAGAAGAAAATAACAAAGATGATGAATCGATGAAGTTCTAATACTTCCAAACATATTGGTACAACAGCGATTTACTTTGAAGAATACCAGTAAGAGGGAGACTACAAGCAAGCTTCTAGTAATTTTTAGTGATGGTGTGAAGGGCAGTAGCTTTGTAAAGTACTGAGGTGTTTCTAACATCATTTAATAGAAAAGGAAAAATCGGAAAGGTGTTAGTTCTAGATTAAAATGAACTCCGAACCTCGTCTCTAGCTTGCCCCATGACGAGTAGACACTTAATTTAATAAATCTAATTTTTCTTACAAAGGATAATTATGTTTTCTTGTAAGGATATGGATCTCCAAAAAGATAAAGCAGGTGATAAATAGTTCTTTAACATTGATCTGCAATGATTGTAATATATTTTGGAATAATGTTACTTCAAAAAAAAAAAAAAAAATGATACTCATTGCAACTCAGAGCTGGGCTGATATGAGCCGACCCGCCATACTGGATACCGCAAATAATCAATGCGCCACACGGAACGTGATTGTCTCTTGTTTCAGCAAAGACTTGATGATTTTTACAGGTAGGTAAAGGACACCACTTTTTTTATTTTCTCACGTCTGAAACTGATTTTATTTTATAAGAGAATTAAAAAAAAAAAGAAATTTATTTAAAAATGATACAAGGGGGGGAGGGTTAGTTTAAGGGGGGAGGGGAAATAATACAAGAGAGAGAAATCTAATTCTTAATTTTCTCAATGACTGCATCACAACCACCTTTAGGAATGGCAAGGCCAACTTGGAGATTACTGGTATCATAAATATGATAAAAGTTATTAAGGAAAGCACCACCCAAAACCCAGTTCTTATCATCAGCAGAATTACGGTTAATCAAGGTATGACAAGATTCTTTGGTATCTTGAACAACGTATAGTTTGGGAGGTAAAGAAACACGATAACCCTTAAAGTCAATCTTTAAGGTAGGTAAAGTACTCAAGTCATCACAGCATTTGAACTTGTAAGTGTTATCAGTTGTATCGTAGGTAGCGTCGATAGAAGCATGGAGAAGATCGGCTTGTTTTGTGGGAGCAGAAATGAAGTTTGATCCGGTGCTTAATGAGGCCAAGGATTTAGGAGCTAACTTGATGTCAATTTTATCTGTTAATTTGACGCACTTAATTTCTGTCTTCCAAAAAGGTGAATCACCGTAGTCGCAGGTGGGTAATTTAAGATAGGCAACATTGCCTTTGTAAACATTATGATCAACACCACCGAAAATAAATTCTGCATCGGACTTTTCGTTATTTCTCTTTTGATAGAAGCCACCGGAGCCGGTAGTAACCATACCAAATTGCTGAGAGCCGGTGCCATAAGCACTTTGGAACCCATTTTGAGCAAAACCACCACCATTAGAAACTGCATGTATAAAATAAATAAAAAATGAGTAGGACATTCAAAAAAAAAAAAAAAAAAAGTTCAGTCTAGAACATTACATTGTCGCTCTAATAAAAAGAATAGGGCTTAGTTTAATCTTATGCTGTTATTATTATTATGTGCGTATAAGTGCTTACTTGTGGCTGAGCTGTTGGATGTCAAATAGTTGGTGGAGCCATCGGCATTGAAACCGCCTAAACCAAGAGAACCGACTATGGAAATAAATGTTTAGTCATTGTTATTATTAGGTCAAATTATGGCTACTTACGGTAATCTTCACCGCCAAGGCCCTTCACGCTGTATGCACTACCAAATAATTGATTTGATACAGGAAGACCGGCTACAGAAATAGTATCCTATAAATAAACATGTTAAAAACAATGAACTAAAAAAATAAATAATATTTGTTTTGTTATTACTGTATAAAGCTTAGCATCGAGGCAAACACCTTCTGCATATTTGATAGACTGCTTCTTATGAAGATCGACTGCTGTTGAAGAAGCATTGGCATTGTAGAGATTAGATTGTTGACGACATTCTGGAGTATGACACTAAGGCGGTATGAGAAAAAAATAATAAAATTACGTCAAAATTTCTAGGTTACCTCAACAGCTGGAACCCAAGTTAATGAATTGCTGGTATCAAATACCACCGAGAAAGTTTGTGGAGGAGTACCTTTAAGCAAGTTAAAATATGATCTATACAACATTATCGTTTCTACATACCAACTTTGACTTTTGCTACAAGCTATTATCATTGAGTAAAAATGAGTCAAGGGGTATTTTTTCTAAGTAAAAGACAACATACCAAACCATCTTTTATAGTCATGGGTTCTCTTTTTAAGGCACATCTTTTTTCAAGCGTGGCTGCTGAAGTGCTTGATACTAAAAATACAGCTGCTGATAATAATACAGAAAAACGCATTTTTGTTGTCTATCGATTTTTTTTAAAAAAAGAAAAAGAGAAGAGGGAAAAGAATGAAGGGAAACAATTTGTTTTAATACTAAATGGGCTGCGTTTTTATATGAAAAAAAAAAGGGGATAAATGATTTTTTTGGTGTAACAAAAACCGTTTAAAAATAATTTTTTTTCCTTGTGACTATGCCGGTACGGAATCAAATGTCCTTTGAAGCTAAATGACTTAAAATAGATCGACGTCAAAAAAAAAAAAAAAAAAAAAAAAAAATGTTGTCATGACACTATGTTCTGGACTATTTAAGGTTTTTTTTGTTGTTTTCGAACGTCCTTTTTGTTGCCAGGAAGAAGATATATTTATACACACTCGATTTTAATTAAATCATGCCTGCATCAATTAATAATAATTAATGGCAAAAGGTTATAAATTAATTTATTTTAAAAAAATAAAAGCCCCATACGATATATGTGTATGTGTATGTGTATGTGTGCGTGTTCACTCTTACAACAAAAATAACTGTTGATGTTTTAATAACAGAAACTGCGCATTAGTGTAAACAAATACTCAGGTTAGAAACCAAGTGGTTACACCGGCGACGAGCATGAGTACACTCTGACCTACACCATACGTGGCTGACATGGAAGTACTGGCTGCACCCGTCGTATTGGTTGCGATAGAATTAGTCGGAACTACTATAGTAGGGGTGTTGCTTGGCAGTTTTGTCGACGAGACCACGGTTGACACGGCAACGCTACTACTACTACTGGTTGTTCTAATAGATTAATATGAAAAAAATGGAAATAATAACGTTAATATCTAAACTTTAACATCAGCCACTTTTTTCTTTTGTGCTTTACGTATTATAGGTCTTCGCAATAGAGCAAAAGGTATCTTTTAGTCCTTGTGAAGAGCCTCTACCTAAATCTTGAGGACAGTTATCGAAGCAAGATAATTTAGCGGTATGCCACTAATACAAGTGTTAGAATTTTATATGTGATTAGATGTATTGCTAAAAAGTTACCTTACACAGACAGGCATAATCTATTAAAAGAAGAAGGTTATACAAAGGAATGACGAATGGAAATTTCTAAATATATTACCTTGGTCTATACATGTTTTGAGATAAGTATCTTCATTTGAAAGACAGGTATTCAATCTAAGAATATAAAATATTATTCATGTGTAACACACAACGCTTGTTGTTAAATATAGACATACACTTCTTGTGCTGCACATGATGGCGATTGAGCAGATACAGATTGGCTTAATAGAACAATAACGGAAACAATAAAAGCGTACTTCATAATTGTAGAGGAAAAAGAAAGGACAAGATAAAAGAAAATAATTAAATATATAGCAAAATAAAAAAAAGGAGCTTCACTCCTAAAAGTAATATTTTATTCTTTCCTGCACACGGATTTAACTGTAATAGAATCAGTTGACCAAAAGAGAATATTTTTGTATATGCAGGAGTCTCTCAAAGTCGACTTTTCCTCTTGTTCACAAATAAAAGAATTTGGTCCATCGATTCTTTACTCTCCATACACAGACTTAATTGTTTCATTTCAATATCATTAACTAAAAGCAGCTTTTCTCGTTCATTGTCGCGTATTAATTTCTTGGTAATTCCCATGGCTACGCCAGAGAATTCTGCCGCTTTTTCTGCGATTTCCAGTATTTTTTCTTTGAATCCTTCCAATGGTATTAATTGACTAATAAATCCACATTGTTCTAATTCTTGGGCTGTGAATGTACGACCCATCAAGAGCATCTCATTGGCTTTACTGGGCCCCATTATTTTAGGAAACAAAATCGATGAGCAACCTTCCGCACAGAACCCTAATTTCATAAAGGGTGTACCAAATGTGGCTTCAGGTACAGAATAAACAATATCGCATAATGCAAGTGATGTAACACCAAATCCAATAGCTGGTCCTATTGTTGTAAAAATTAGGTAATCGTTTTGTGTATCATAATTATAGCAAATAATACCATTCACACCAGCAATCAATAGTTTTGGAAAATTAATAAGTTCATCCACTAAAGTTCTGCTGCATTGTTAGTTTTAATTTAACAATGAATTATTATTATAAACATGTACTTTGTCACGTTTCTTCTCTTTTTTGAATTTTCAACACCTTCGGGACTAGTGTCAGGTGCTACTAGTTCTTGTCCTGAAGTATAATATTTTCCCCTACCCGTTAGAACAACTACTTTAACTGCATCGCAAGTAGCAGCCCACTGAATAGCTGCAAGCCAATCCTTGAAATAAATGTGTATCAATTTCTGTCAGAAATAATTATACAACTTTTCAGACTTACTCTGTATGATAAGGCAGATAATGCATTATAACGTTTGGGTCTACTAAACGCCAACTCAACAACGCCTGTTGCAGATAATGTTATTTCAAGAGTTTCCAATAAAGGAATTGTCGAGGCCATTTTATTCGTTTCTTTTTTTTTATAAGAAAATAAAAAGGTGATATTTATATATAGAAAAAATAAAAGTGTGAGAAGTTATGTGACTTTTAAATGCAATATCGCTGACTCATGAACGTCTTTTTTTGCTGAGACTCAGTTTGTTTCTTTTCTGTTTTTTTGACAACTGTAAGCTATGGAAAACCGGTTTATTAAACAAGTCATCATCCGTGTCTGATAATTCGATAATATTTTGACTGAAAAATGAGGCATCCAATGGTCTTTTGTGACAAGTGGGTTCATTGTCATTATCGGAAAGGATCGGCATATCAATATCCATAGGCTTACTTATCACTTGCTTTTTTTCTATTACTTCCTCTTCTGTTATATTCTTTTCTGGTATAATGTCTTCTATTATGTTCTTCTCCAGTGTAACGTTATTTAGTGTGTATTTCTTTATTCGGTCTTTCTCCAGCGTATTCTTCGTCACTACTTGAAGTATACCTGCCTTGCTTCCTCCCTTTGGAGCATGGTTAGGTGCTTTCATTTCACTGTTTTCTAAACTTAGCTCAAGCTTCTTAGATTTACCAAGCTTAAGTTTTTTAGTAGGCTTTTCGAGTTTTTGGTCCACGATCCCTGACACGGTTTTATCATAATCAAATTTTTGAGTTGTAACTTTTGGTTGAGTTGATTTTCCAAAGTTGGCTAATTTGCCTACATTAACTATTGTGATTTTCTCTGGAACTTTTTGTTTACAAAGTGATTTCTCTTCATGTTGTTTAGCATTATCACTATCTATAGCTTTACTGGATGTTACTGCTGACTTTTTCTTCGATAATGATAAAGACGATTTTAATTTCTTCACTGGCTCTTCCTCTTCGATAACCATCTTTTCCACTTGTGTTTGCACTACCGATTCTTCATCCTACAAACAGTCAATCAATGAACCCAAGAAATTGCATAAGACTTACATCGAAAGCCTCTTTTGACGCAAACTTCTTTGTGTATTCTATGGCATTTCTTTTAAACGTAGGATAATCCAATTGGTACTCTTTGGCGATATCAGCATCAAGAGGATCATCTGGATTAGGTGCGGCTAATAACTGTCTGAGGCTTGTTAATGCTGTTCCTAAATTAATAGCTGGTTTCCATTGCCCCTTTTCGCCTGTTTTTAATATATCGGCGCATATCCGGCCCGTGTCGTCAATATTCGGGTGGTAGATAGTAGTAATGAATTTTATCTGTGGAGGTTGGAATGGATAGCGATCGGGTATTTGAATAGATAGCTTGAACAGTCCTGCCTCATAAGGCGAGTCAGGTGGTCCTTGGATGTCTGTAATGTTGTTAATGATAAAGGCTAATCTTATGATATTCTACGTACATGCTTCTAAGTCAGTGATAACGTCGTCTTTGGGAAAACAGGTAATGCCTGGTGGTGGATCTCTATCTAAATCCACTAAGAAGTATGGATTAGTTTTAGTAAATCCCAATGCAAGCTAAACTTACAAAGTTCTTTATGGATTCGTTTTGTTGCGATTTCGTTCAACATGGATAAAAAATAAAAAATAAAAAACGCCAAAAACGCGGAAAGGTAATTTTTATTAAACGCGCAGCTGTGTGCCAATTTTAAACCTTGACCCATTTCCAACCACCTTTTAAAACACGGACCCAGCCAGCAAAAAGAGAGCCTACAATGATTGTACAACCAGCCCATAGAGCACCATTCACATAGTTTGGTGGAGAAGTCTTGTTAATTAATTGGGAGGCAATAGGTGTACCAAACAGATAACCAAAAATATTAGTGGTGTAAAGCAAACCCACAGCAGGCCCAATATGTTCCAAGCCAACAATTTGAGGTTGTACAGTAGGAAACAAAGCTACATAACCACCACCAAAGAAACCATACAATACTGCAAATATCCAAAGCGTTGCTTCGTTATGGACATTTGTCCAGATCAAAAGACAAGTTAAGCCACACATGAATGTGCAAAGAAACAAACTATTAAATCGACCGAATTTATCTCCCATATAGCCAGTGCATACTCTTGCTACGGCATTGACGGCCGACATAATTGCTGAAAGATTCGTACCAACCCAAGGATCTAAACCAAGTGCATTGGCATGAGAAGGTAATAAAAAGAAGGGGGTCATATAGCCAAATGTAGTAATCAAACCATGAAAGAACATAACAGTAAACATTGGATTTTTAAACAAGTACCAATTGATAACTTTTCTTCCGCCTCCTGTTTTCTTAACATCGCCAAAAGGACGTACAAAGCATGTAGCAAATGATAGTAACACAAACACAATAATACCATCGATACGAAGAGCCCAACGGTAACCAATGGAATTGATGGCCGCCATACTGATATTGGAAATGACAAGTCCACCTACACCTGAACCTGCGAATGCTAAGCCAACAGCCAATCCTCTTCTTTCTGAAAACCATTGTTGCGGTGCACCAATACAAGGTAGACTTACAAAAGAAGCACCCAGACCGAACATAACACCCTGAGTTAAAAGTACATGCCAAACTTGTGTAGCGAAACTAGCTAAAATTAAGGCAGCCGTACACAAAACAGTGCCTGTAGCTAACATGTATTTGTAACCCATCTTTTCAATGACCAATTGATTGATGGGACCTGTAATGAAAAACAGGGCTACACAAATAGAACCGACCCAAGATAAGGTGCTCATTTCGCCAACATATACGTGTGTTTTATAATAATTGAGAAATACACCCCAACTGTAATTGTACCCGAATCTAAAACAAACCCATTAGTCATGATCCCAATGGGGGATTACCTAAAATTAGAACCTACATTGCAAACATACCCTGTATAATTTAAATGTCAGATTTTTGCCTTTTTATTTGTTTATAATGCCTGTCTTACCATAAATGAAGCTGTTACAACAAACCATCCCCGGCCTCCGTCAGGTGGAGTAATATATTCTTCGTTTATTGATTTTTCAGTCTCTGAAGGATCTTCTTTGATGGTGGCTTCCTTCGACATTTCGGAAGATGAAAAAGGGTGAAAAGGGAAAAAGAAAAAAAGATTTTTTTCATCTCTTCTTTTGTGGTTGGATTGGGACGGCAGATGAAAACTGGATACAGTCTTTCCACTTTCGGTCGACCACTATAAAGAGCCAACATGCCAATTTTTCAAATCTTAATCCTGTTCATTTTCTCCCTTCTCAAGCTCTGAGACAGCATCTTAACAGTATATCTGGGCTTCATTCATTTTTAATGTTTTTAGTGGACATCAAGGCGAACCAATGTTCTGGCAAATGAATGTTTCTTCAAATACCACTCCCTTGACAGTTATTATTTCTCGGTATTCAGAGCCCGTGCCTCTCACATAGTCCTACAGCTTTTATGAAATTAGCTAACAAATGCTGGTGATAGGCTTTGCTTATTGTATAATTCCGTCTTTTTATCGATTTTAATAATTTATTGTTAAGCGTTGAATGCAATGGTCAAGTAAGACACTGAATGCAACATCGACTGTGTGGCCGAATCCGCCCAACCACGCATCGCATTTTTAAAGTAGCATGGTTATCATTGGCTATTTCCATTTATAGTAAAATATTAATTTTTCACCACATTAGCCTGGTAGATGGGAGCCTTGGGTTTATGGTAGCCCTTAGGTTTGTAGACGCTAACAAATTTTGATTACGAGTACTCAAATGTTTTTTATAGAATTAGGCCAAATATGCTTGTTGTTTTAAAATAGAAGTTAAACCAAATTAGTCTAAAATAATATGGAATTTGACCTCAATCATTGATTTTGCCAATCGAGACATGATTTTATCGCCAAATTTCACTTTTCTAATCGAAATCCAATAGATAAGGATTAAGTTACCATCTTTCTCCTCAATACGATTTCTATCTAGAAGCGAAATTCTTTATGAAGTGCTGCGGGCCGTAACATATCAAAATTATACAAAAATTGGATTTTTTTGAGAATTTAATGTCAGTTTTCATGCTTTTTTTAGTTGATGTGTTGAGGCACAACGTATCAATAAATAAGGATACGAGAGCTACTTTACCAATTTTAACCGCTCAAATATGTTAAAGGCCGGATTTACCGTTCAACAAGGTTTGTAAAAAAAAAAAATATCTTTCTTTTTCTACAAAATTAACCCTTTCAAAATCAGGACAATTTTATTTACCAAGAGCAAGTGTTGATCCACCTGAATCTTTTTGAATATCGATCTTTCTTGATCTTGACTTATGGCATAATAGATTAACAGCAAAGCAAGCTAATCCCAACAACAACGACGAAATGGCCGTACCAGTCGCAGCTAAAACTTTTTTTTAATTGTTGTTTGTGCTTAGAAAAACTATTGTCCAGGACGCAGTCTTTATGATGGAAAAGTTTCATAACCATCCACTCTGGCAAAACAGTCTATTTTCGCATGAAATGTTTACAGACTACGGGGAGTGAGTTCATATTCATGCAATCATCAATATGATATAAAAAACTTTTGTCTACAGACGCATGCTCAACGTCGCCCAAGAAGACAATGATCCTGTAAATGCTTTGTTGCAACGCTACGTGCCGATTTTAGAAGACAAAATCAAATGTATGCATCATAATCTTTCAACACGTTTTGATACTCAGTCAGCATCACAAGAGAAAATTATCGATTACATTACTCGACTTGTTACCAGCCAAGCTAGTATAAGTCTGAGCATTAGCTTACCTGGAGGATCGGGGAAGGATCAGGGTAGAACGAATATCACTGCAGCAGCCATACCTCAACAAATCGAAGCCAATTCATTTTCCAACAGTAATGCGATGGACCATCCACAGACTTTACGTGGTAATATCAACAGTAATGTTGTGCCCTGTTATCGTATGAGTCTAGGAATTGTTTCCGTCAATGATTTGTGGCATGAATGGACAGAGAGTCTATGTGGCGGTCATGCGATTAAAAATTTGGAGAGAAGATGGGGTACCAGACGAAGAAAAGAAAAGTTTTTTAACAGAAGCTGATTGATTATAAACGAAATTGAACGATATGCAAGCCAAAACAATATCACTACCAGCACAACAGTAGACATTGCAGAAAGAAGGAGATCGCAAAAAGGGTATTCGCTACACTAGCTGTCAAAAAATATCATTGAGATATTCGAAACAGAGAGCAATGTATGTCAACATTACTATTCCCACCAACTGTTTAGAAAAAGAAAAACTTTAGGATAGCATTATTCGAATAATTATGTTAAGTTATCAGGTCACATTCTGGGAACTTGATCCGTAAGTAGCTGCAGTTATTTAGGGCTATTTTTCAAATAAGTCTTATTTATTATCGCTCTGTGTTCCAATAAGGTGAGGACTTTTGAGACTTTTCAGGACTTTGAACGAAGATAATGTTGACATAGCGATAAGTACAGCAATCATATCTTTCAAAAGTAATATAGCGAAAAAAAACTTAGTTAAAAGTAATTTCAAAGGCAATTTATATCACCCGTCTTTTTACGACGTCAACTTTAAAGCGACTAATTTCAATTTATAACCGAACGAGCTACGATTGATGGTCGCTTGAATAAAAAAAAACAAAGAGAACAAAGGACGGATTGCCAAAAAGACCCTAATTGGGATACCGCAATGCTTATAGCTAATGACGATTGTACTACACAAGTACTTCCATCCTAAGCTTCTACATAGAAGTAGGCAGAAAGAATCTTTCAGCTAGTGATCCGAAGGTTCGACTCATACTTCCTTTAAAGTTAGATGTAGGATCTCCAATTACTTTATCAAGCACATTGCTGTGACGGTTGTTGCCCGAGGGGGTTTTATCAGTCAAACATGCAAAAAGCGGGACTTTTTTTTTTCTTCCTAACTTCACAATATGACGACTTCCAAGTACGAGGAATCAATAAAAGAACTTGGCTCACAAGATGATACTAAAAAGCTCAAAGCATTGAGATTTATAAAGAATTCGGTTATTGGAAACAAGACGAAAAAAGAATTATACATTAAATTAGGAGTTGTTCAAAGGTAATTTAGCACATGGCGGCAACAGGTAAACATACTCTGACCAATACATGGAAAAAACAATAGGCTCGTAGAATATCTGTCTTGTCCAGATAATGGTTCTTATCAACTTAAAATACAGGCTGCTACTATACTTGGCAGTATTGCCTATGGTAAGAGCCATTCATGACAACTTGGAGTCGGGACTAAAGGGAATTATGCATTTTAGGTAAAGATGAGAATGTGTCTGCGGTAGTTACTTCCGGTGCTGTCACCCCTTTGTTGAATACCCTCTCACTACCACGCGACAAGCCTATCATGGAGTCTATACAAGAGCGAAGGAAACTACTAGAGGCAACCACTCGAGCTTTGAAAGCAATTTTTGCTTCTTCTCGTACTTTGAAATATGATACGTTTAGCGTACGTTTTTTAATGTTTTATCTTACCGTTTATATAATACTTACCCATATTTGCAGAAGAAACATATAGAAGATTTAGTACTTATACTAGAGGCAACATCAAACTTTCTTGGACACGAACCGCAAGGAAACGTCTCCAGTGAGGGCCTATCCTTCGCCATGATTGCCGAGTTTACTGCCGCCATTATTGCTAAATGTTGTGATACACAAATTCAACAGAGTCAACTGGAGGAAGCTGGTGTTATTCAACCATTGATTAATTTATTACATTCAGGCTGTATTAAAGCACAAGAAGCTTCTTTGGATGCCATCGCTACATTGTGTCGCGAAAATAAAGAGCTCGGCGAAACGATCATTAATTCAAAATGTAAGAACATACGCACTTGATTTAGTTTACTTTTACTAAATTTGTTCAAGCTCTAAATACAGACCAAATAACTACAAACACAATGCTTGATTTCGTGAAGGACAAATGTCCCAACATGAGATTAATAGCTGCCACTTGGTAAACGGAGTTGATCTTTTTCTGAGTATTGTGACCCTAATATAATACCGTTTTATTAGTTTGACAAATCTATATCGTACAGGTGTATTTTCTGAGCCATTCAATGAAATTATTTTGATTGTTCTCCCGGCACTCGTTAAACTGTTGCAGGACCCTACCGATGATGTACAAGAAAGAGCGCCACTTGTGTTAGCCGACTTAATAAAGGATAGTGAAGAGATGCAAAAGGCAGCGTTCGACGCTGACGCAATTTCCCGGTTAGCCGAACTTTTAGCCAGTGTGTCATCTAAAGATTCCGAAGAAGAGGCTTATCCTCAATTAGGTGTACCCGGTCTTGGCAGCGTTACTAAACGAAAAGAAAAAATCAAGGAGAATTCCTTAATTGCTATTGCGGCAGCTACTTTATTGAAAGAAGAATGTCGCACACAAGCTATCGAAGCCAGAGTTTTGCCGCATGTTATTTCAGGACTCACAAGCAGACAGCCCAATGTACGTTTAGCAGCCTGTCAATGTGCTAAATCATTATCTCGAAGTGTTAGTCATTTGAGGACCAGTTTAGTCGATGCTGGTATAGCGCCACCTTTAATTAAACTACTGCAGGATGACTCTCTTGTTATACAAGCAGCAGCATGTGGTGCTTTATGTAATCTTGTACTCGACTTTTCTCCCATGAAGAAATGCGTAATTGAAGCAGGAGCCATTTCAAGATTTGTGGAATACTCCCAATCCGATGACACAAATTTACAGCTAAATGGTTTATGGGCATTAAAAAATCAATTATTTAGAGCAGACCTACAAGCAAAGAAAGCAGTAATGGATGTATTGACTTACGATGCGCTCATTGAATTGTTACATGAACCTAATCCTACTATCCAAGAACAAGCGCTTGAAATCGTTCGTAATTTAGTCTATGGGAAACAGGAAGATACTGATTGGGTGATTGAAGGTATCGGAAAAGATGATTTATTGGATGTACTTGAGAGTAAATTACAGGTTACTTCAGCAATGGGTTTGGAAGATGAAGTTTTACCCGTGGTTAGTTCTTTTTTTTTTTATGCATTAGCAAGTATCAGCTATTAACTTAGAGTCAGACATTGGTACCTGCACTTTACATAGTAGTAAACATGTCGAGTAACGCAGAAGCTCCCAAAATGGCACTTATGAGCAGGTCGAATATTGTCAATAGTGTCATTCATCATTTGGTAAGATCCTGAAAATCTTCACTTAGTTTTCTAACTAAAACATTGGTGTAGTCTCACGAAGACTCCTCTGTTCGAGTCACTGCAGTCTGGTGTATCATTAACTGGACTTGGGCCAGCACTGATGACAATCAAGAAGGTAATAAAACCTAATATGGGGTATATCGTTGCTAACTTTAAACAGATTTGATTACGCGTTGTCGTCGCTTACGGGATTTAGGTATTGAAGAAAGGCTTTTAGCCATGAAGAAGGATTCCAGTCGAGATGTCTGTGATAGGGCAACTACTGCCTTAGAACAGCTTAATGATGTACTTGCAGGACCTTCTCCAAATTAATAATAAAAATAGTAAAATTTTATTTTGATACGCGTCTTTTAAGAGCAAACACTGTTGTCTGCTTTTGCATTTAAAATAAGTGCAACAATCAACCCGTAAAGGCCAAGAACTTCGGCAAAAATCAAGATCAACACCATTGTAACGAATAAACGACTTTCTCTGACATATCCACGAACACACTTTTAGAAAAAGTTTAGAATAACTTAGATAGCAAAGAGGGTACTACTTACATAATCACCGACAATACCAATAGCATAACCGGCGGCTAAACCGCCCATACCAACAGATAAACCAGCAGCTAAAGCAATGAATCCACTAAAGAATAGAATAAGAATACATGTATTTGCTTTTTTTATTTGATTCTTACGAGAATAAGGAATAACCGCCTGTTGGTGACACTGCCAAACGAAAAACAAAAAATATTAAAAAAAAAAAAAAAAAAAAAAAATAACAATAACGGAATAGCAAACTTACATTGACCGGCTAAGAGAACAGCGACAACTAAGCCGTACACAGCAATAATACCACTCATGACAACTGGAATTAAAGCCTATACAAATTAAAGACGTGAATATACCGACAAGTGTTTCAGTGACAAAAAGTATACCTTCATGACCAACTCGGGTTTAAAAGAACCAATACCGGCAATTCCGATACCAGCTTTTGAGGTACCATAAGCAGCACCAATGGCTAAACGAAACAGTCAATATAATTTCAGAGTGAAAAAGACGTATCCAAAACTTACTACTAAAGGCCATCTATAAAATGAAGGGGTTAAAAATATTAGTTTCATCAGGATTAAAAGCGTGACATTCATCTACGTTACAGCACAAAATACACCAGCAAACCCGAAAAAGGGTGCGTAATTTGGGCAGTAAATCTCTGATTCCGACATGGTTTATATAAGTGCAGTTGTTAAAAAAAAAAAAAAAAACGAAAAAGAGACAGCAGAAAAGAGAGTTTGAAAATGCACACCGAACCTCAATTGTCTCAAAAAACGTAATCGACGTCATCATAGCCGTTTTGTGTTGCTGGATTTGCTGTTACACATTGCTTGTCATTTTCTTTAAGCTGGAATAGAGCCATAAGTGATGTAAAGATTTGATAAACTTTATCTTCTTCGATAATGTGAGTATTATCAACACCGATAATTATAAGGTAACTGGTGTTCTCTGCAATAAGTGCTGAATAATATGGCAGAGGAGTATGAATGCGGTCAACAACATCCAAATCAATTTAATCAGGAGAAGGAAGAGCGTTTCACGCCATAAAGAGAGTAGGCACAATACGTTAAAAATAAGGATGAAGATAACTATAAATATCATTAATTCGGTCAAAACTTACGATCTGTCTAAAAAACCATTTTTATTTTTATTTGAAAATGCTTAAATTTAGGTAAGTATATAAATTTTCTTTCTATCAATCGTGGTAACAATAAACCAATCTTCAGCAGCACATATCTTCAATATACAAGAGTTTAACAACCATACGGTAACTGCGACATTTTATCTTAACCGCGATTTTACAAGTCATTTCCATGCCACATACGATAGGAGATATTATGAATTTTGACAACAAAAACAGGCCCGACCTCTATTTTTTATTATTCCTGCAACGATAAAAGATAAGAAGATTGAAAGGGAAGACAAATAGATTGCTTGCTTGCTAATTATTTGACTAGGATTGCATGAATTCTCTTATTTTCTCACTTACTTTTTCCTTTACTTCCTTTCATTTTTTCTTTTCCCGTTATTCTTAAAATTATTTTATCGTCGCTTAATTGAATAGGCCGTAAAGTTAGGATGTTTACCTTTTGATCAACGTTTTTCTGTACCCCATGATACAAATGAAAGTTTTAAGCGGTATTTTTTCATTATATTCAAAAAGAGCAATTTTAAGCATATACTTCCCACGAGCATTGTGTACCGACAAGTCTCTTGACAAGGACATTATTTTCCAAAAAATGGTCTTGGTAATCATTGTCTTTTCATTTTGCTACTTACAGTAAATAATTGAGGCAGTCATATGGAAGTATCGATTTATGTATTTGCTCAATTGTATATCAATGACGGCAGTAAATAATATTAAATCACCAGTATTCAGTGATACTGGCACATGCTGCTTTCCAATCCAGTTTAAATACAGTACAAATACAGGCATTAGCGCAAATCGATGCAGCCGTATCTTTACTAAATATATGCTTACCCCTTATACAGTGATTTTTTGGATATTAAAAATACGAAAGAACTACTCTATTTATAACTGGTAGTCTCGGGGATCTGTGAGATTCACAAAACTGGACAGGGCGTTCATGCTCAATGTGTGGCTGACTTTTCTAGAATATGCAATTGTTTTTTGGGGTGGAAATTTTTTAACATCATGAGATGTATGCTCAACGCGCTTTGTTTATATTCCGTAATGAGCGAAATTTGATTAGTTAAATTCTGCAGAAAGCTCAAACAGAGTGACTTTTTATCTAGTTTCCTTTTCCACATCTCGCACAAAACTTGGACCGTTAATTTCATAACGTTCTTCAGCTACTTATTTACTGGGCAAGTTGGTGTTACTTTACAACTTTGTTTATAATATAATTTTTTTTTCAATGCTTTCAACAGGCACTGTATACATAAACTATGTTTTATATAGGTAATTAAGTTATGCAGGGTAGTTTTTTCCTTTCATATATAACTCACTACAAGTGTAGGCTGTAGAACAAACATCAAAACATTTGAGTCAAGCGGTTCTCAATTTTTTTAAGGTTACTCTTATCGTAAGAAGTAAAAACTTTTATAATGTTTCAGTGATACTTTGATTAGTCTTTAGTAGCAGATTTTTTGGGCCTACCAACGAATTTGCCATGCCTTGAATCAGTCTAAAGAGTCTATCAACCTCTATGAAAATGCTGCTCCATCAATGAGTGAGATCAACATTTAAACACCCGGATAGTAGTATACTATAAGCTTGAATCAAACTAATTTTTGGGCACTAAGAGAATTATGTTTTCAAAATTTAATAACTTACGAAAAGCCTGTGTATACATAAAAACGTAATTTGGACATTACAACTAGCTTCAATCACACATAATTAGAATTTTTTATAATATGTAGCTATTGCCAAAGATCAATATTCTGGTAATTATCTCTCAAATTATAATGATCTCTCTTGTTTTTACTATGATACTTTGTGGATACAAGTAAGAACTTCAAAATTCGTGTCTTGTTTATTTCGATTTGGTCTAACTGGCATTGACATCTTCTGTTTCTTAAGACTCTTACTGTTTAAACAAATAATAACTGGCTTTAAAGTTAAATCTATGGTTAAGCTTTTTGATACTCACCCCAATAGAAGCATATAAATCGATTCTAACAATATTTTGATTCGATGTTTATCAAATGCCTATCTTGGTCAGTAGAGCCGTCTTCAAGCAACCTGCATTAAGGTACTTTTAAGTGATAATACCATCTTCAGAGTTCACTCGTCATGTTACACTTAGTAGTGTCATAAAAGTTTAGTTTCCATATATGAATATCTCCGCGTTATGAATTTCTTACCAAGACAAGTAGTTTTTTTTTCAACACTCGCTATTTCTATACATGTTTCGACGTAACCGCGGTCTGTAAACTTTTGATTCATGTACAATCGCAGGTACAAAAAATAATTATTAATAATGTTAAAAAATATTTTTCTGTAGATATAATTCAGTTGAGAATGGTGGTTACGCCATTAAATAATCTAAACTTTGACAGCAATCTGATTTCTATATAGGCCCATTAAAAGTTACAAGTGCAGGAATTGTGGCTTGGCCAAAAAAAATCTAAAAAGTCTAAAAAATATGACATATTGCCTATTGACACTATATTTTATGTCGTCAGTTTTCCTTGTATTATATGATAAATAATGAGTTATGCAGCTTTTCGTGGATATGTATCGTCATTTTTATGTATAATGCGTAAAAGTTTATTTCGAAATTGTATAGATTAATATTAAGATTGCTTGCATTCGGGGGCATTTTCGCCCTTGGCAGGCTACATGATAAACGGAGATTTAGTAAAAATAGATGGAAATACAATAAGGTACTTACGGCAGTGTCGTCATCATCATCTTCATCATCATCATCCTCTTCATCGTCATCCTCTTCATCGTCCTCCTCATCCTCGTAATATTCATCCTACGAGTATGTCAATATTTGTTAAAACGTGATACTCAGCGATTGACATTATATACTTACATCAAAATCCTCATCTTCATCATAGTCACCATATTGGAGCGCTTTACCGGTGAAGTAGTCAACAGCATGAGGAATGATTTTATCCTTGAATTCTTCACCCATTTCATAATCAGCCTCAAGTTTAGCATCCAAACCCTCTGCCTCTTCTTCATCAATTTCCTCTTCAGCATCAGGAATAGTAGGTGGACTGAAGAAATAGAAGAAGGAGTTTGAAGGGACAGTACGCTTGACAACACGAGTTTTGTTTGTCCCCTTGTGGCGTTGTTTCTTTGTTTCTATGGTGACAGTCAAATCTTTGCCTTCCTTCCACTCAACCTGACAACCTTCAGCATGGTCATAGACGAATTCACCACCATAAGCATGATCTTGATAATAGTAAGTCTTTGAAAGCACCTTATTCTTAAAGTAATCATTTTCACTAAATTCGAAATCAAGCTTAAATCCAGGTTGTTCCATATACGACATGCGAACATCAATTAAATGTTTCAAAGCATCTTCGTCTTCTTGAGTAATTGTTTCAGTGATTTGGGGATGATTTTTCAGGAGGGTTAACCAAAATTCAGGAATACCCTTAATATCTTTATCATCCTTTTCTTCTGCCTTTTCTTCAACTTCCTCCTCAATCTCTTCATCGCTATCATCTTGATCCACCTTTTCACCAGCAGCGACTTCCTCTTCGGTAGGTTCATAAGTACCAGTAATGATTTCAGCACGTTGGTTATACAAGGGTTGATAAAGCAAAAGATATTTCTTTTCTAAAGCTAAAACTTCTTCTTGAAACTTAATTTCAAGGTCAGCATGTTTGGATTGAAGATATTTGAGTCCATTAAGACGACGTTTAACAGAGGTGGGCAAGGATTCGATGTATCCAGAGGGGCGACCAACTAGTGTACCTAATTTACCTTGGAGCATACTTAAAAGAGCGGGGTTACTAGTGAATGCTCCAGCAAGGCTAGATGTATTGTCAGCTGCGCCTACATGGATCGCGTAATCAATTATTATTGTTATTATATGGGGTGGAGGGGGTCTAGAATAAAACTAACCCCAACAAATATCTTTTTAATTTTAACTTTCTTACCTTTCTCGGAATCTTCTGAGATAGCAGGAATCGAAGGACGATAGCTGGAAGTTATGGGAGCAGGGTTGATGGGCGTATTTTGAGGTGTAGGTGCTGTAAGATTACCATTCTTATTTTTGATGTCGACACCAGAAGCTAATCATCTCTTCTTAGTACAGACACATACTTTTTTTTTATTCTTGTGAATGTCTTACCGGACTGCTGAGGATCCATTTTTTTAAAAAGAAATAGCAAGCGTGAATGAAAAGGATTTGTTGTGCAAAAAAGATTTTTTTATAATTTATAGTGCTCACAGCACAAATTCGCGTACTTTAAAATGTTAGACCACGTATATCTGATTGGTCAATTTATGCTCTACTTCGTCATTGTTCATTTTTTTAACCGTGCAAGACCGAGTTTGAATCATAAGATCATCAAAATTTACATCTAAGAGAGCTTACAGTATTCCCAATTTGAATTTAGATGATGTTAATTTTTTCTGGACGAACGAAAAATAATTTTTAGATGTGTAGTTCACCATTTTAAGACAAACGAAAAATAAGATTTAGAAGAAGTTAGGTTTTTTGAAGCAAAGTGAATATAAGCTTTAGACGTTTAAATGTAAGGCATTCAAACAGTATAAGTTATGTGAATATAGTCATCTAATTACACTAGATAAGCTGTATTTATTACAACGATGACTGTGGCGGTGAGGTTGTTGTACGTTGAAAGGGTTTCGGTCTTTTTGTCTTTGCCAAATGCTGATACAACATCCATTTTATTATAATAGTCCAGTCACTGAATTTTAAAAATAATCGAGCAAATCATTTAAATAAATAAATTATGAAATTAAAACAACCTTTAATGTTGCATATGAACATACACTTGTATATGTTGAGGATATCATAGATATAATAATAAAGTTAATTATCGCATCACATGGGGATGGATAGTAATATAAAAGTTAATCATAAATCACACATTACCCCGCTTGTTCTCATCATATCGTTGCAGTCTGTACACAGGACACAACCATCTGGCGAGTAGGTATTTATTCTGCAAAAAGCAATACAATTGAATAGGCCTATACTATAGAATATTAATAGATACCGGGCATAAATATTATTCTTGTCATTCGATATTTTTATAATTGTTGATCCCTCTGACTGATATTTATATACTCAGTATGAAAGGGCTTAATTTAAAGACATGCTGATTATTTACTATCAACAGGTTTAGATCATGATCCAATTAGGCGCTGAATATTCTCCCTAGAGCTATTTAGTTCTTCATAGAGATATCCGTAGTTTTTTCTCATAGACCATATTACGGTTTTTAATTAATTATTTTTTTCCGTCCGAAATAAAGTGGTATCCAAGTTCTAACAATATCACTTTTGGTTTTCCTTTAATTTTGTTCTCCATGCAAATCAATAATCATAAGATTCGTGAACAGAGTACAATATAAATACTCGTAATTGACATGGAGGATAGTCGTTAGTTTTATTTCTTATCATTTTTTTTCCGAATGAAATATAACTTGTTGTTGATTCGCTGTTTTTCTTTGTATCATTATTTTCCATTTTATTACACCTATTTACAGTATGGTATACTGTGTGTCAATTGATAAACAGTCAAAGAATTACAAACGTCTTCCAGGTTCTAGTTAGTGTATTTTAAAAGCATGTACTGAAATTGATATTTTTTAACAACATGATCGTCGAAACATTTGAGCTTAAACTTCCATATTTTGTTTGTTACAAGGTCCTAATGCTTCTACCAATAGATAGGTTTAGTAATTCATTTAAAAGATCAGTAACTTACATAACTAACCAATTAACAGCATATCCCAAAACGCTCCGTAATTGAATCAATCTCTCATAGATACTGCTACCAATTTATTTGCATAAAGGAAATCCTACCTGGCCTGAATAAGATAGCATAAATAACCGAGTAAAAACAGCTATTTAAGATATTTGCTGACCTTTAAAGGAGGTACTGAACAAGAGGGTTGCATTGACCGAGCTTGTAAAGAATCCAGGTGTATTTGTCCCATTTTATTATTTCTTAATGAAAATTTGAACAAAATTGATGACCACAACCCTTATGATGTGAGGCAAATTCTACGGCCAAAACTCATTTCGGTGCTAATTACAACCATCGGCATACTGTAGATCAATTACAGTAAGTCTAAAAGCTTTGTCATGCTTAGCAAAAGTGTCATTGCCGCGAAAGTTCTAAAGGCAGCTAATATTGTTCTACGATATTTTCAATTTTGGAGAATTGTTATACAGAGAGCGAGTAAAGAGATTGTATTTAATCGAAAGTTTGCATTTTTTACTATTATATTTGTAGTATTTCTACATTCACACCAGACGGGAACAACCAAGTTTTTTTCTGGACACGTGATACAAACCAATGGGTTTGTTTTGGATTCGTTGTTTTACAAAAGATATCAAGACAATTGCGGTCCTTCTTTGCAATACTTTGAGTTGACTCTTACCAATTCACTATGACCGAAAATGTTTTGATGTCTCCTCTAACAGAACTATTGACAAAATCAACAAGTGTTACAGACAAATAATTGTTTGAGAAATAGCTGGCATCAATTTGTTTACCACCAAATTTGCTGGCAAAATCAATAAGTGTTGGTGATTATTGAAACAAAGCTTTTTGAGGCAACGTTGTTACTTTTGCAAACAAATTTGTTGATTTTACAAACAAGTCTTGTTGTACCTTTTAACGAATTTGTTTGTCTTATAAGCAACGCTTGTTGGAAATGTGATAATTGCGTATATAAAAGTATATGTGTATAGAGTTTTTAGACGGAATAAGAAATGAGACTCTTTATCCCTTTATTATAAGTTTGAGAGTTTGTCATAAATAAAATTAGAGGTCCTTTTATATACGAATTATAACTTCAGGTAGATTCTCTGCTTAGTTCTAATTAAGGTTTTACACGAGATAGTGATACCTTAACTTGAGATACAAATCAATGACAACGTAAGATAGAGTGTATTACTTCTGTAACGTAGGTTCTCCATATTATGTCTGGAACCTTTATATAAATGTAACAGCTCATGGTTCCTTAACAAGAGTTAAGAATTAGAGTTCCTGATCGAAGTATATGTATATTAAAATTCCACATGTAATATCGTAGATATCAAATGGGTCTTTAAGAATAATCAAAGTAAAGATAACCTTTTATTAAGAGTTGAATGAGCTCGTATTTATACTTTTACGAAGCTGTGTTTAAACTAATAGTAGATCCAATCGGGATTTACTATTCAATCGTTTATCCATTTGAATTGAATAAATGTTTATCCATGTATTCTTATTCGTTCATAACAATCTTTCCATGATTACGATCTCCAGTCTGTCTACTGAGATCTAATATTGGATTTCTATTGTTTCTATGATTCAATACATCTGCGTTACAACACCACAGTTACACAACAACTTTGATTAAGTTTAGATTATAATCACAGAGTGAATGTTATGTTGTACTGGTATTGTGTCTTTAGACACTAGGAATTACATTCACCAGAATCGTTGCTATAACATATGACATATTATAACGATCAGACAAATTGAATTGTAATTATAATCGGTTTAATAGGAGTAAATACGACAGGAAAGTCCAACTTGTCGTATTTGTCGTATTTGGGTACGATTCACTTAAAAATAATTAAACAAATTGTTTAAATAAATAAACTATGAAATTAAAACAACCTTTGATGTTGCATACCAGCATACACATGTATACTGCTATACAACTTCTCCTACTACGAGTACATACTTCTATATTAGAGATTGCATGATTGGCCTAAATACGATATACGAATGACAGTTGGATACAGAATGCTATACCACTGAGTTACGATATCACCGATTGAGAAGAGAAACTTCTCAGATCAATCAAGAAATATAAGAAAGAGAAACTTAATATTAATAGTTCTCTCAATGGATTAGCTACCCAGAGAGAGAATAGAACAGCTACTAATATAAATTGATATATACACACTATATATCCAGCCTAATCTCTACTTGACATTTAATAGCAACCCAGCACTGAAACATAAACCATTAACTGATCAAGATATTAATGTCTACTTCCAATCCACGCTCCCATCTGATCTTCCCGGATAACAATCTATTTCAATCCTTCCTTATAAAAAGGATCCCCTTTTCCATTTAATAAAAAGATATCTAGTTTTAGTCTCAAATAATTTAACCGTTTATTTCTTGGAATATTTCATAGATGGTTCATTTACTTATATATTGATATAATTATACTGCTGATAAAGAGTATAAAGAAATAGTGTATGAATTAATGGATACCTAGCTTCTACAACCAAATATACAAATATCGATAAGACATTTTATATTTGGGATCGTATTTTATTCATTACAAAGATAATGAATAAATTATCAACTATTATGTTCTATTGCCAATTACACTTGACAAACAAGTATGCATCTTTTACAGTAACCGTTGCATGATCTGATAAATAAGTGTCTCGTAATACTAAAGATTTATTAGCATACTCATGCTCCCGATCCACTGATATGGGACAACGTTATCTGGAAACAATTCTAACGAGTAGTATCCATTTAACCCAAGCCGAGAAACAAAGTATAGATCTATTCCAAAACCAGAAAGGTTGACTCATCATTAAAACTCAGGAGGGTTGTGCAACATAAAAAGGATTAATTATTTCATAGCAGCAGAGTTCTTTTAGTCTATTTTTACCTCTAATAAAAATATACTTTTATCTCATTACTTTTCTATGTAATATTTTGTCAAATACCACAACTAATGTCAGCAAGGTTTCCATGTGGGTTCACACTTGCTGTATCCTTCACAACTTTTTGATAGCAGTCAATGACAAGGCGGATGAAAGCTGGATTTCTGAAGGAATGCGTAAGGAGGATGCCGATGAAGACAAGTCCGTAGATGAAGAAGAGGTCAGACTTCGTCGTGAAAACACCCGTCACCGTAAAACTTAGTCGTGGTAAATTTACAATTTAGACCGGGACCGGAGGTTGCGGTCCAATTTTAGCTAATTACCTCTACCAGAGGTCCAAGTAACATTTAGACTTGGACCGCAAAATCAAAAAAACGCAAATGACATAAAAATTGTAAAAAATTGTTATATAAAGATAATATGTTATATTGGAACTTGTGTTATGAAAAAAAAATGATAAATATGTTCCTTGGTGATGGCAAAGATGATGTTTGAAGAAAATACTGTTATTTTGTGTGACACAGTGAAGCGATAATTTTTTTTTCGGATGTTGAAAAGCCTTTACTACATTCAAAAAAAAAAAGAAAAAAAAATAGCTCTTTACTCCAGAGTCCCAATCTTTCCGGCAGAACTTGACATGTCTTTCGCAAACGCATCACCAGTTTTGATGACATACTTGTATGCTGAATTGTCTGAGGAATTCAGCAATCCAACAGAAGATACAATATCCCTGGCGTCAAATACAACGAATTTTTGCTCGCTATCACCAAAGAGCTGAATCCGTGGGATAGACTTTGAGATAGGAGACACGCCATGTGTTTTTGCCAATTCACCATACACATAATGGGACCCTGGTTCATTGGCGGAGAATTGGAAACGGAAAAAGAACAGAATCTTACAAACGAACCAGTTTTTAACTGGCACGAATAGACTAAATTTGAAGAGTGTCAATAAATGCAATACGGCGATAGCAAAAACATATACTTACTTGTTCTTATGTATCGCTTCGAACATGACGAATTCACCACCACGAGAGCATGACCTATTCTTCTTCTTGTACAACTCCGAAATGTAGACTTGATTTTCATGGAATAACCTTGTCGAAATCCGAAGGTGTTGTTGTTGATGAAACGGCAATACAACTCGTTGCCTCATGCCAGTCAGCCTTGTCATACAACCCATCAACGCACGACACCAAGGGATTGTGCGATACAGACCACAAATGAGGACATCCGAAGAACCCTGCAAGAGCACACCAACCTTAGTAAAAGAATCATCAAAAGGGGACCAGAGTTGAGGATAGGTGGCATCTTGAGGATGCTGCTCGAAGTTCTTCTCGTTGCTGTCAGGGGATGCCGTTAACGCAGAGAAGTCAAAAATACCGGATACATTGAAGAATTTAAATATTTCCTTGGTTTCCATAATGTTGCCAGCATTAATACCAGGATGAAGAGAAGACCGGATACGTTTTTTGTATGTACCAATCGACCGTTCAAGGGACCTAGCAGAATAACACCGCAATGGACTATAGAAGTTGGTTAGTATATGATCGAATAAGGATTAAGTAATTAGTGGCTTACCCCATTCTTCGGATCATGTAGGGTATGTGGTGAAGCTGATGGAGGTTTGACCTGAAAACAGTCCTGGAAATCGTATCATTGGCAAGACAGGTGTCAAGATACTTGAACCATGTTTCGAAGGACCTAAATAGAAATAACAGTTAGGTAATTTGAATATTATATAGTTGCTCGTAAATCAATAAATTAAGTACCCATCGATTTCTTGAACCTCAGCAGACGAGATCGACCATTGCAGACTGATTTTTATTCCACGAGCAAGAGCAACAACCGCAATCCTGGTTTCTTTAGCAAGAAACAGAGGAGCAATTATTGTCGGAACAACGTAGACCAACCAAGCTATCCAGTCCACAGAACGGTACATGGACCGAGCGTTTTCCGAAAGTACACCTTTAAATGAGCCATTAAAATCTGAGGGGATTGTGCAACGAGATTCATCCATCGATCTTTTGACATTGAGAATGTTTTCCGTGGTGAGAGCAAAGGGGTAGCATGCCTCTTTATCAACAAACTTGTAACGACCATTGTATCTTGGGGAAAAGAGATCGAAGCAAAGCTTGCTAACGTTTGAGAACATGTGAAGCTCATCACACATGAAAAAGTCAATAGAGAGGAAGGTACTCAGCTGTCCGAAAGGCGTGGGTTCCTTGATGCCGTATCTTTCCGTTCCAGCAGGCTATAATAAGAAGAGGTATTTAATATTATATTGAAATGAAGCTCTGTCCTAGCACTTACTATTTCTTCAGTCAAAGACTCCCTTGTACGAATAGGAGCACCTCTTTCGAAAAAATACATCCCGGACTTTTTTTCCTCGACGGGGTGGCCACCTTTTACTAAGGAGGAGGGTTAGAATTTGAAAGTGTTATTTAATCAAGTTGTTTTAGTTACCAAGGCAAAATCGACACCCATACCAACTTGTATGGCCAGCAAACTTTAACAACCGCTGGTTGATCTCGATGCCATCTGCAATGACACCAAGGTTATAAACATGCGATTTAGCAACAAAGACAACATTACGTTTGATAACGATGGGCTGTTGGCTCAAGCGATCAAGACTTTGAATAATTGGGCGTAAGTACGAATCAAATTCGGTCTTGGTATCACCAAAAAGAATTGCTATTTGGAAGGTATAATCATCTGTGTATCTAAATTAGTTGTAAAAATAAGAAATTAATACTGATTTTTAAGTTTATATAAAAAGATTATATTTTACCTGATTGATGGATCTATACTAGGAATGATGACATGGACCATCACCATACTTTGGTTGGAGACACGAGAAGTAAAACCATCTACACAGAGAACTATTCCGATATCATGCTTACCAGCAAACAGACCTTTCGCCAGAAGCTCTTGATATGCGGAACCAGAGAAGAAATCTGTGTAGGGGCCATCATCTGTTCTAGCATCGATGACTTCCCGGTATTTCTCTACTTCTTTACGGAATTCGTCGCACGCGAGCATATGGCTTATGTGATCACCAATGTCAACCATTTTGACTACAGAACCGGGCCGTCTGGAAGCACCCCAGTGGGGACAAGCAAGCTTATCAGCATCAATAACAGGATCAAAAAGATAACACCCTTTACCCGAGCAGATTTTATGGGTGCGGACAAATGAATTGGGTATTTTCTTTTTAATCAAAGCAAGGCACTCCTTAAGAAGAAGTATCTTTTTTTTACGAGAATGAGCTAGGAAAAAAAATGGTAAGTAGATGAACTTTGGCTGTATGAACAATTGTAACTTACGAGTTTTGTTTCGGTTAATAATTATTTCGATAAACATTTTCATGTTTCTTGAAGACTGGACTGTCATATTATTACTGATACAGAGATAGTTGAATTGTAAAGTATCAAGCTCATCTTGGTCAAATGGATAATCTGGTATAAAAACATTTCTGATGTTTGAAACATCTTGACTGCCGCTACTTACACGGACATCTATAATTTTGTGATCATTAGTTAAGGTATGAAATCATCAAATATAAAAAACAGTTTACCTTCCATAACCTCATCTACATCGTCAACTTCTTCAAGCTGGCATTCTCGTGCTCTTTGGAACTCTTCACTGTCCCCGTCATCTTCGCTCTCTATGTCCGAAATCTCACCATCAATATATCGAACATGCTCTTCTTCTTGTTCGGCTATCTCTTTTTCAGTCAGCATGTTCATTTTGTTTGGATCGATACCGGCCACGTCAAAATCGCAAAATTCGGACATGTCTACATCATAGACTTCAGAGGCAGTAACCTTAGTATTTGGAAGAAGGAGAGTAGCAACGGTGTCAGCAGTGGTAGCAGGAAGAATGGGAATATCACAAGTAGTAGCAGGACTAGTGTACTTAGGGATGCTTTTCAAAAGACGTCTAGTTAAACCTTTTTGAGAGGCACGACTTAGTTTAGCTTTCTGAATCGAATTTGGGTTTGTCATTGTTTAAAGTATGAAGATAAAATGGATGATTTTAAAGGAAGTATCAAGCATTTTTTTTTGGATTTATACCTTTTTTTAATCGCTCACTACTCAATATCTTTCACAGATGTTTGCCTTATTAGATCGTATGTCCTTGTCAAAAACCAAATCACAAGTAAAATGTACTTTCGTGTAACAGAATATTTCTATTTTGGTTTGATGGAGCGATATTCCATGACGTAATGAAGAGTGATGATTGGTATTTCTTATACTTTCCCAAAAAGGAGCATAAGATCGAAAGGCTCATACAAAAACAAAAAAAGGTAAATGACCGAAAATGCATATATTTAAGGATAATTTTTTTTGGTATTTCATTTTTTTTTCTGCATCTTATTTTTAGTCCTGAACAATGAATTCCAATTATCCTTCCAATCAATCCAATGAAATGCAAGAACAAATTGATGCAATGAAATCAATAGTCGAGTCTATGAAGACAATGGTTGATTCTATGAAAACAATGGTCGATATTGTTAACAAATCTGTTAGCATAATCCCTGACTTGGTGAAGACAGCTGTAGCTTCTGAAGAGCCCGGAAATACGGTAACAAAACGTAAAAGGATTAGCAGCAAGTCGGCGCTGGGTTCAAGTTCTTGTCGAAGTGAAGAAGGTGAGATTTGTATAATGAAGCCATATTGTTCATTCACTAATCATAAATGATTGATTTAATAGAACACGAAGCAGAACAGCGTATGATCAAAAACTGTATCTCAAAGGCCATTCAGTATTATCAGACGAACGACATAGCTCTCGGAAATCACAACAATTTGAATTCCTTAGGCATGAGAACTATACCTGATCCAAAGGCATACAACGTTGAACATGTCAAAAAAGTAACTGAGGACTATTCAAGAGTCTCGTTTACGGAGTTGACGATGGAACCGTCGACGGAAATCTGACGTATAAAGCAATGGCCACTCAGGCTTATAGCAATACGTTTCATGTAGCAAACATGTTTCTTGTGGTATATGTGGAAAAACGGTTTGTTTGACACGGAAAAATAAAAGATAAAAAAAACAGGAAGAATAAGATTAATATTGCTTGTAGGCTTTTTTATTCTTATTAAAAGTGAATCCCTCTTTCATCTCTGAAAGAAAGGGGGGTATTTATAGTTATTTAAAGCGTGGGTAAAATTATGGCTCGTTTGTGTTCACTTGGTATTATTGGCTGTATTTACTAATGACTGATGAGCCTTATCAGTGTAGCCAATCTATTATTCGAAATGGGATCTTCTATTGGAATATCTAGTAACCCTGAGTTGTAAATGTATAACTCAGGATATTTTTTATGCTATTATTTTTTTATGAGTGTTATGATATTATGTACCTGTCGATCAAGGATCGATGGAATGATTTTATATGCGATTTTATATGTTAAATAGTGCGATTTTAGTACAGTATACTGCAAGGACAAGTACCGGGTGAATGGATCTTGCTGGACTGATTATAAAAAAACCGATGAGCATATTATGATGGTTTATATGTTGGAGAGAATTGTATTCTATTGGAACAACAATAGCAGCAATCCTGCGGTGCCATCAGGGTCCGGTAGAATGTCTGACCTCGCCGCAGAAAATCCCTTTTTGCCTCTGCATTTGGCCGTGAATAATTGGATTGCTCGTAATATGATCATTTCTTTGTTGGGTAATACCAAGAAACTGGTACGTAATATTAATGGTCATAAACGTGTGATGTTACTAACTGCAATCTTTCATCAGCGCCCAAACCCCGTAGCAAGTGTCGAATCTTCTGGATCCATGTCAGGCCCCATGGCTGCGCTCAACATGAATACCATTCCTCGTTCCCCCATGGCTGCGCTCAACACGAATACCACTATTTCTCGTTCCGCTGAATCGGATACATATCTGGAGCATGATTTCAGACCAGTATATTTGGAAGGGGGTGATAAATCGATGATAATTTAGGAAAAATGACAAGTAAGATTAACCAGATTGCAAAAATTAACTGAACTTTTATTAACATAAAATTTAGGGGTCCTTTATATACATATTGAATTCGACCTCCTTCTTAGACAGGGCTAGATGACAGGCAAGATTATGACTGACATGCCATATCTTGAAAGTAAGTAATCCAATGAGAATCATATAATAGAAGAAAGAGTGGTACACGTTTCTATAATAGGTCTGTAGTGTCACTTGACGCGTACATTTAAAAGTCATCAAAGTACATTCAAAAATTTATCATGTTTGTACTTTTAAACCTCGCTTGTCATTGGCCTCCGCTAATCTGATTAGTACAATATATTAATAATGTCTTTTTAGAATAATTGTATAATAAATGTATACTTTTGTACTTGTATTTAGCTTGATGAATATCGTGCTAGTTTGTTAAGTCAATTGTGAATATTTAATATGCAACATTAAAAGAAGTGTTTATAAAATTATCGTAATGGATAAAAATATGCTGTGTAGATCAAGCATACATGAATATATAAAGCTCGATCACAACAGGGGGTCAAGATGAGCAAGACCAACCTGCCCCATCGTAGAATGAGAGTTTCTCTGTGCCTGGTACGGATTCTGTCCAATCTCCCCACCCCTCTCCCTCTCCATCTCCCCGCCCCTCTCCCTCTCCCTCTCCATCTCCTCGCCTGTCTGCATCTGTCTGCTTGTCACCTGCTTCTTTACCTCCACCCCCTGAGCCATCTACTTCGTCTTCAAAGATTGACCAAAGAGCTGAAAAAAGGGCCGCAAAAAAGGCAGCAACCAAGCGGGCAAGGGATGAGTTGATAATAGAAGGACGCTCTCGTAGCAAAACTAAGCCTTAATCCGCATTGGGTTTTAATTATTTTTTTTTAAATAAACTCGTTTTTTTTTTTTTTTTTTTTTTTTCTTTTCTTTCTTTTTCTAAAATTTTTTTTCAAAAATTATAGTAAGTACCTCATGTGGTGACCTAGCAAGACTATAGCCATATTAGAGCTAACAAAGGTTTATCCATGCTGATACCATTTGTGATACAAGCTTAACAATAAATGTCATAGTAAGAACTATAAGGATATTACATCACAAGTCTAATTTAGTACGTCTGAGAAATACTTAAAATTTAGTTTAAAGCAAAGAGAGTTAAGAAGACTTAACATTTATTAGAAGAAGACTAAATTAGTGACTATGTAATAATCGTATACATTTTTGGTTAATCAATGATAACTTCAAGATAGCACTAGAGATATGAACACAGCAGACAGTCTTTTATATAAATACTCGTATATTTCATTTATTAATAAAGGACAATCTTATAAACAGTCTCAAACTACTTCTATAGTCTTTTTATAATTTTACTTTACCTTAAAACACAACACCTCAAAACATCACATCCTCATATAACTAACTGAAAAGCTATTAGATATATTGTTATATTTCGTACTGGCTTTTATGGCTTAACTTACCACTGCATTCTTTCGCGTACATGGTTGCTGTCCACTCTAAATAGATGATTGTCACCTGAAGCGAGTAAGCCTTTTTTAAAATACTAAAACCGTGTTTATATATTTTAACTCTATTTTATAGTTGTTTACAGCTCAGCAAAAGGTACTTCATGTGATTGTCAACTACAATGTGAGTATTAAAAAAATTGAAAGCCTTGCTTATATTTTCTAACTGTATCTTTCTTAGTTCAATCTAGCTCTATCAAAGGTAAGTCATATATCTAGCTTGTTATCACTTCTGCATCTGGTAGTCTCCGTATGCAACCAGGACAACCAACACTATATTATGTATGGTATCTGTTTGTTGTCATCCTTACACTACACAGTATTCATTTAAACAGGCGTTTCGTAGTTTTTATACGTGTATAAACCATTCATAAATTATTTCGTTATAAAATATAAACCAATATAAACATTATTTTTGCCCTTCATATTCTATTATTTCCAATGTTATTTTTTGTAAAACCCATTTAATATTGCAAGGGTCAATAGCCCTAGTTTAATATACATTTAAAGATATCCTCCAATACCATCTCGTTAAAGAATAAGGTTATGATGTTTTCATTCGTTAGAAACTGGAAGTAGCGGTCTGTTTTCATGCGTACATGAACCGCGACCGCTAGTTCAGGTACAAATTAATTACCGCGACCGCTGGTCGAGGTACAAAATAATAACCGCGACCGCTGGTCGAGGTACAAAATAATAACCGCGACCGCTGGTCGAGGTACAAAATAATTACCGCGACCGCTGGTTCAGGTACAAAATTATGTACCTCGACCTCTGGTCTAATTTTTTCGCGGTCCAAATTATACTTCGACCGGAAAAAAAATTTGCGGTGCGTGCTTTGTTGGAAGCTGATACTCCAGAAAAAAAAACGACTTGTTCCGAGAGATATATTAGAATTGTTTTACTCGAATAAACAATATTTTTGCATGATTTGTGAAACGATTTTCCTGTTTCTTCAAACTCAATCGTTAAAAAAAAATTCGAAATAAAAGTCGAAAAAGTCAAACAACAAAATAGTTGGTCGCGTTTTTTTTAATCATGAAAAATTTTTCGTCTTTTTGATTGGATGATTTCGAAGTCACAAAACATTAAAAAAAAAGTCGACCAGTGTGCGGTGTGATGATCTGACTTACTTGATAAAAACCATAATAAAAATAACATCAGATACACTTACATCATACATCTAACACTGAAATATTAATATCTCAGCATCATTACTTTATAAAGCAAATACACCTCTTTAGTCTATGTACTTCTTTGACTAAAATAGTGTAAGAAGACACTGCACTAATTTAGTACAATTCCATTATGCAATAATTTTATATTTTAAATTCAGACATCTTATATATATATCCTCGACTCATAAACTAGATAATCTCTAATTCTCTTTTAACTGAAATAAAGCATACCAACAGTCTCAAAGTATTCCTACTTTTGTTTTATTTCCTCTTGTTTGATTTTTACTATCCAAAACACCACATGCGGGTTAAAACTGAAACCCTTATTGTTTTGTCAGAATTGAGAGGACGATGGTTCTAAGAAATCTTAAATCAAACTGAGTTCTAAAGTAGTAACTCAGTTTTTATACCTGTGTTGTATAGGGATCCAAATTACCTATTGACTTAGTAAACTGTACTATGATAAGTTGGGACTCAAATGAAACGATTTTTAAGTGGAGACTTATCGAGAAAATTTATTATAAAAAAATGAAACCAACTAAAAGAACATAAGTAACTAAAGAAACATAATATGAATTATTCACGCATTACCACTACTGGTTGGGCTTTCAGAATAAAAAAAAGAATAAACGCTTTGACTGAAGTGAAAAATAAGGTAAAAATAAAGAGAAAGAAAAAAAGATAATGAAGGGAAAAGCCTTCTAGGAAGATCTCATCACCATAGTTTTATGAGAAAAATTGAGCAGGACATTTGGGGAACTATCCCGACGACAAACAAAGTAAAAGACCAAGAAGAGCAAATTAGGAACCGTCACAAATCAGTTTTTCCCCGGGCGGGAAGAAGACAAAGAGTTTGAACCATTGATTTGTTTTTTGGAACGAGGATGATAAGGTCTCAAGGAAGAGATGTTAATTCTTCTTTTCAAAAGACGACCATTCGCATCAGCCAGTTGGCAAGTGCCGTTATCAAAACAGGCGATAACCTTGAAGACCTCGGGTTTATAGTTGTGGTAAAACACATAATATATAACTACGTAAACTACATAAATAATAACGGCTACAGCCAATAATAAATATACACAATTGCATAACAAAGCATACAACCAATAAAATACATAATACCATTTCAGATAAGGATATGACAGTAAAATATCCTTATCACCATTCTACCATTAGTCATAGACAGGGACAGAATTTCTATAATAAGGAAATAGAAAAAGAAAACTCTGTGTCACCTCACAGAGTATCTTCAAATCCAAATATACCTGCTGTAATCATAAAAGATAGACAGCCATTTTTCTGTGTAACATACACAGAATATAGTTTCTCAAGCATAAGATTGTCAGGAACGAGGGAGGAACGAGACAGGCAGGACAGGACAGAGAATGAATAGCTTCTTGAGAGCAGGTTATTTATTTAAGAATAAAAGGGAGGAAAGAAAAGAGAAGATGATTATGAAATATATCTGATAAAGAAAACTGGGAGAAGTGAAATTTATCAGCTATATTTATAGAGAAAGGAAAACAAGAAATTAAATAAAAGAATAAGCAATGACAAAAGTTAGTCATAGCTTATGTGGATCATGACAAAGGATTTAAAGAGCTGACAGATCAATGATGAATATTGAGTCTGAAAGCTGGTTACTCATATTGCATATTTGGGGCATAAAATGTAACAGGATCATGACAAAGATAGTGATAAGCACAATAACAGCTTATCACAATTATAAATCATTACCATCTAACAATTCATATAAATAGGACAATTTCTAGATAGATAGTTTTCCTTTAGTTTATTTTTAACCTTTAACCTGGAATAAAACCACACTGGATATTTAACTTATTCCCTGTTTTTATTTTTATTCTTTTTATTTTTCTGTGTAAACCAATCCCGTTTACCACAATACTTACTGTTGAGCTTGCTAAAGCGATTATGTTCTACTCGGACCACAAACGAACCGACTTCATACCTCTTTTGCTTAAATTCTGAATCACGAGTAGTTTCCAGGGGCGTTAAGATGTTAAAATCATCAACCTGGATGTTACGATCTCCTAGCTTCACTAGTCTTTCAAAGGCTAAACTACGGCTTAATTCTTGCAAGGGATCCGATCGAATGGACCTAGGAGACATACCATACAATAGTTCATATGGGGAAATCTTGAGAAAAGAGTGTACTTGAGTACGATGGGCGTATATAACCACAGGAAGATGGTTATCCCAACGAGTTGGATCTTGATGGACTAGTTTCTTGAGGGACTTGACCAACGTACCGTCGTACTGCTCGACACGACCATTGGTTTGGGGGCGATACGGTGAGGCAAAACGATGGTTGACCTTGACTAAGTTGAGGAAGGCATCGATGGCTTCATTATCGAAAGATGAAGCATTATCACTTAAAATAAATGATACGGGACCAAAAACAGTGAACAGTTGCTCGTACAAGAAGGCGGCTACGGTATTGGCGTCAGTAGATTTGGTGGCTAGGGCAATATGCTATCTAAAGAACGATTCAACTGCAACGAGAATATACACATTCCCTGATGTTGACTTAGGAAAGGGACCCACGAAATCAAGAGCAAAGGATTCAAACAAGTAGTTTACTGGTATTGTTCTACAGGGTGGGTTCGCCTTTCTATTTATCGAAGAATAAATTTGGCAGACATGGCAAGTTTTTAAGAATGTTTTCACTTCTTCGTAGCCGTTCGGCCACCAGAATTCCTTATACAGCCTAGCCCAAGTTACATGTGTACTAAAATCGCACTATTTAACATATAAAAATCGCATATAAAATCATTCCATCGATACTTGATCGACAGGTACATAATATCATAACACTCATAAAAAATAATAGCATAAAAAATATCCTGAGTTATACATTTACAACTCAGGGTTACTAGATATTCCACTAGAAGATCCCATTTCGAATAATAGATTGGCTACACTGATAAGGCTCATCAGTCATTAGTAAATACAGCCAATGATACCAAGTGAACACAAACGAGCCCATAATTTTACCCACGCTTTAAATAACTATAAATACCCCCACTTTCTTTCAGAGATGAAAAAGGGATTCACTTTTATTAAGAATAAAAAAGCCTACAAGCAATATTAATCTTATTCTTCCTGTTTTTTTATCTTTTATTTTTCCGTGTCAAACAAACCGTTTTTCCACAACATGTAGACCTTGATGTCCATGGCCATCGTGAACATATTCAAGAACATTACGCCTTTCCTTTACTGCAGGAACCCTTACATAACGAGTGGACGAAACCCAGCGATACAACCGATTTTCAGATATGGTGTACTTTAAACTTAGCCTTTTTATTTTGGGTTCGTGATCCATCTGAACAACATTCCCTGCTGCACACGCTTGGAGGTAATCATAAATCTTCTTTAACCATTCCTCGTAAATCGATTCAGTGATATAATTTTCGGTGATCATCAAATTGTCGAGCATGGTATCCAACAATTCGTCAGCAGGCTTTGCACTCTCCACAGGATCAGTTCGGTCGGGAGGATAACGCGATAAGGCGTCGCTAACACAATTTATCTTTGAGCTTAAATGATGGACTTTGAAGGAAAACTCTTGAGTGGCTAGGATCCATCTTTGCAGTTTTGGGGATGGGTCAGTCTTCCGGTGAAGATATGTCATACACATAGAATCGGTATACAAATCAAATTGTTGATCCAAAAGATACTTTCGCAGCTTATCCAATGAGAAGACAACAGCCAGACATTCTTTCTCCAGAATGTGTAGATTAACTTCGGCAGGGTGCATTTTTCTTGAGATGAAACATACTGGAGACTCCACTCCGTCGAAACCTACTATGGTTAACGTACCCGCGATCGCTACCTCACTAGCATCCGTTTAGAGTTGATAGCTTCCATTCTTGTTTGGTAGCGTCAGTATAGTAGCTGCGCACACAGCCTCCTTGAGCCTTTTAAACGACACTTCTTGAGGTTGAGACCAAACGAATGGACGACCCTTCTTCAGCAATTCATTCATCGGTGCAGCGATATCGGAGAACTGTTGAACATGTCTTCTAAAATAATTACACATATTGACAAAAGCCTTAATACCGGTGGTATTCTTGGGACGGGGGTATTCAGCAATGCAGTCTAGCTTGGGCTTAGCAGGTCGCACTTGGTTATTAGAAATGACAAAACCTAATAACTTGACCTGATCCAGTAAAAATTCACACTTCTCCGCGTTCAACACCATGTTACACTCCATTAACCGTTGGAAAAACAACTCCAAACACCCCAACTGTGTTTCCACATCTTGGTTGAATATGCAAATGTCATCCATGAAAGCGGTACACCATTCTGTGAGAGGTGCAATCAAAAGACTAACGCACCGAGTATAAGCGTAAGGGGCGTTGATCAACCCAAAGGGCAGTAGACGATAGCTGAAATTTCCCGAGTGGGTTGCAATGGTAAGTTTCGGGATAGAGTCTTTTTCCACCTCGATTGAGTGAAATCTTATAAGCATATCCAACGAAGAGTAGACCTTGCTTCCCGACAAACACTCGATAACATCCACCGTATTGTTCATGGGCCAGGTATCCCTCTTCGTGACTTGATTGAGGCCAATAAAATTGGTGATCAACCTTCTCTGACCATTAGCTTTCTTGATGTACCGGCAAGGGAAAGACCAACCAGCACCAGAAGAATTGTCGGGGGTATGGGTGGTAGGAATTAAAACACCAGCTTCCACCATTTCTTGTAGCTCTTTTCTCATGAAATCCCTTTCTGACAATGGAATAAATGCATACGGACGATTGTAAATTGGTTTACTGTCTCCTGTATCTACGCAGAACTTGACCAGATTGGTGACCTTGAGATGGCTATACGATGTCCCAAAGCACGTGGAGTACTTCATTACGAGAGACAGCAATCGTTCCTTGTGAGCTGGAGTCAAGTGGTCATACAGCTTGATTCGATCTAGCAGGGTTCCCAAACGATCATCTTGACCCAGTCTTGGTTCCGTTAGAAGGGTGGGTTCCAAACGGTGATTATTGAGCTCTTTAGACGTCCTTTCTCGTACAAGCGTAGACTCTTTCGTCTCAGGATTGACAAAGGTAAATTCTCCTTGACCTTCTTCGCATGGGATCAGATAAAAAGCTTCCTCTGAGTCACCCTCTTCTAAGCTGCTTTCATCCTCGGTCTCAGTATCCAACGGGGAATCACTGGAAGTATCTGAACCATCCCCAAAAACATCAGAAATGGACCTTTTCTTATGATAATAGACCTTTATAGGGACCACGCCACGGTTCTCAGTGTTAGAATACCAGAAATGCGCCGACCAATCGATACCAATTTTAAGCTTGTGCATACCAAGACGACCCAGTATAAAATCGTATTGTTGATTGGTGTCATACACATAGGCATCAATGGGCTCCTTGATAAAATTACCAATGCTCACTATCAAATCACGAATAAAACCAACGGGGCGGCGTGCTTGACCATCCGCAAAAACTATAGCAATCTCTCCAGCATCCTCCAAACAGGTAATCTTTAACTTTCTGATTAAGTCTAGACTAACTATGTTTGAAGTACAACCGGTGTCGAATATGACTTCAGTATAAACGCCTGAGACCACAGCTTCAGCTCGTGGGGCACCACGACCACGTGGAGTATGGACCTGGTCAGAAGTTGTATCATACTCTTTATTTTCTGCCAGCAAGGTATCCCTAGTATCTTGCTTTTGGTGGGATGCTCCCTTCAATGAGCGCTTGAGTTCGGCTTTGGCTGCAGGTGATATGATGGAAATGTCCGATACTGACAAGGTTACGCTGGGCTGATTCATGACTTGATTTACGACCTTCTTTACTGTAGTTACCCTTATATCTCGAGTGACCGTATCTCTTAGTTTACCCGCCTTGCCTACGAAAGGGTGAGTGGGAGGATTATTAGAGTTTGAGGCGTTCGTTGGTGTAGCCATAATATAAATTGGTGTTTCAGAAACACTGTTCAGTTATCTGCTTTTACCGGGAGTGGACACCTGCTTACCCGAACGAGACACTCTAACATCCTTATTATGGTTTTCAAGTTCATTTGCCCTTTTGGGTACAGCCATGAGATTTTCTTCAGCTATCATAGCACTTTCCTCTTCATCTTTCTTCGCGTTCACATATACGCCATCCTTCATGTATTTAACGCATTTGAAGTGTCGATGGTCAGGGGAATTACATAACTTGCACGGATTGGGGCAATTGTTGACAACATGACCTACTTGGTTGCAGCTGTAACACTTTTGTGTTATTTGACAAAATATTACATAGAAAAGTAATGAGATAGAAGTATATTTTTATTAGGGGTAAAAATAGACTAAAAGAACTCTGCTGCTATGAAATAATTGATCCTTTTTAGGGCCCTCGCAAGCACATCAAATTATTTTTTAAAGATCCCGATTAAGGACATTAATTTTTTTTTTTTTTTTTTGTGAAAGGTTACAGTTTTTCCAAATAGAATCTTTTAAAATTTTAATAATATATATGGACGATTAATAACAACATTGAATATTTTCAGTGCTAAAAAATCCGAATTGTCCAAACGAAGAATTAAAATCTGCAGGCCCCAAAAACCTTCTATCAGATTATTTAATGTCCAAATCCGATTACTGAAATCACGAATGTGAAAAATCCAAAGACAAAAAAGAAAATAAGACAGAGTATTAACCAGATTGCAAAAAGGAACTGAACTTTATTAAACATAAAAATGTGGATTTCTTTTATACACAACGAACACAACTATTTACAGCAAACGGGAAGATGACTACAGTGGGTAGATTATATTGACATATTGTCTAAACTGTCAATATCCCGCAAGGTACATCAAGGATAATAAAATAACAGTCCGTAACTGAAGTAAATATATTAGTGTTACGTGAATTATGAAATATCATCTGACATATGCCAAAAGGTGAAAGATGATAAATTACTTCAATCGTCGGAGTGCAAGTATGTTACCGCAAATGTGGTGCATATACTGCTCGAATACAACAGAATGTTGTTTTATTTTTCAATAAGAGCCTTTTATTTTTATCGATTTACTTTTTTTTTACCATCTCCATTTTATTTTACAGATATGAGTTTCCAAAATTATTCAAGTGCTGACTTCATCAATGGCCAACGCCCAAACCCTCCTGTGGTAAGAGGCCGACCCAGAGTGAACCCTCCGTCTGCTGCACAGATTCCCACTGACGTACCTGTTCCATCCTCTCAACCTGTACCTACCCCTTCTTCTGTACCTGCACCATCTTCCGAAGATGTTCCTTCTGCTGGTCCTGTTCCTTCTGCTGGTCCTGTTCCTTCTGCTGGTCCTGTTCCTGCTACCGAGCAAGCTCCTCCTCCTGCTGCTGAGCCAGTTTCTGCTGCCGATTCCGTACCAGAGCCTAACACCAACCTTAACTGGGATTCACCAAGCACACATGTATTGATTGAAATTTTTCCTGCGTATCTTGTTGAAGCGGGTGTGACTAGCTCAAATGAGGCAAAGGCAGCTTTAATCCAAAAGACAGAAAAAGCCTTCAATGACAACGCAGCCGTCAATGGCCGAAGAGACATCTGTGCCATGACGACTAAATGACATGCTCATCATGCTAAGTATCGAAGCAGACGAGACGATGCTAATTCTACTGGTAGTGCACCTCTTCAACACTGGGAGTTTCATGATTTGATGGAGCAGGCAACAATACAAATGCCAACTACAAACCCGCCTGTTACATACAGCTCCCATTCCAGAGAAACTGTGGACAACCGTGGTGATTATGCCACCAGAAGACGTGGTCATTCAGAAGTCGATAATGATAATGAAGAGGATGAGGATGTTGTTCCTCAGCTAAATGCAAGACGTCCACGTAATGTAAGTGTGTCAATGTGGTTTATGGCAAACCATATGGAGCAAATGGAAGCTCAAAGCCGGGCTGAGAGAGCAGCTGATCGTGCTCGTATGATCGAAGAAAGGAATACCGATCGTGCACGTTTGGCTGCTGAACGAGAGACAGATATTGTTCGTATGGCTGAAGAAGATGCATACCGACGAAATCAACTGGATCATAACAACGATTACAGACGACAAAATACTGAGTTGTTAAGAGAGGCTACTTTGTCCATTTCCCGAATGGTAGATTTGTTTGCTGCTTCAATTGCTCAAAACAACAATGCCACTCGTGCTCCCACCTCTACCACTACCACCAGCAACAACAATCCCCCTTCTCCCAATCCTTCTACAGATAATATCATTTAAATAAAATTGAATAAAACAAAAAGTTTTCTATACTTATCTATTTCTATTTCTAAGTCTAGTTCTTCTTCTACTTCTACTTCTAGTTGCTCTTCTACCCCCTCTAGCCGCCCCACGTCTACTTCTACGTCTCATCAATTCCTCAAAAATGGTAATCCTTCTGCTACTACCGCCTACATCAGGTGCGTCTTCATCTTCAGGAACAGCTGCACTATGATCTTGAAGGTGAACAGTGTCGGTAAACCCGGTATCACCAAGGTCGATACACATATTGTGTAAAATATAACATCCGGTAATCACCTCGTTGATCTTCAACTGGTCCAACATGTAAATGTACTTGCCCGTAAATCTCCAACGAGCCACCAACACACCAAAGGCTCTTTCGATCGCCATTCTTGTAGATGAATGTACACGATTGAATGTACGCTTGCGACTGTCTAACACGCATTGACTCTCAGGAAATGGTTTGATCAAGTTGGGTCCCAAAGGATAGGCAGAGTCACCGATCATGAACGTGTTGTCAGGAAAGTGAATGTCTGGGTGGCGAAGAATTTCACTCGCTATATCACTTGATCGAAAAGCAGCAGCATCATGCGTTCTTCCTGAAGTAAATATTGTTGTGTTAGCTTTTATATTGTTTCATCGTAGATCATTATACTACAATACCTGAGTCACCCACTTTGATAAACGTGAATCGTAATGCAGAATCACATACGGCAGTAAGCTTCACGGAATAGTTGTTCTTTCTGTGGAAAAACGGTTTGTTTGACACGGAAAAATAAAAGATAAAAAAACAGGAAGAATAAGATTAATATTGCTTGTAGGCTTTTTTATTCTTATTAAAAGTGAATCCCTCTTTCATCTCTGAAAGAAAGGGGGGTATTTATAGTTATTTAAAGCGTGGGTAAAATTATGGCTCGTTTGTGTTCACTTGGTATTATTGGCTGTATTTACTAATGACTGATGAGCCTTATCAGTGTAGCCAATCTATTATTCGAAATGGGATCTTCTATTGGAATATCTAGTAACCCTGAGTTGTAAATGTATAACTCAGGATATTTTTTATGCTATTATTTTTTATGAGTGTTATGATATTATGTACCTGTCGATCAAGGATCGATGGAATGATTTTATATGCGATTTTATATGTTAAATAGTGCGATTTTAGTACACTTTCTATCCCTGAACATAGCACCCACGGTTGGAGGGGAAGGTTGGTGAATGATAAAGTTCTTACCATCCACAGCACCAATCACACCATTCAATCTATCCCCAGTGCTACTCACAAAACCGACAGCGATCGCATTGGCTCTGATAGGGTCTGATGGCCATGTCAATAAATGACCAAGTTGATCCTTAATTGCTTTGAGTGTTCTTGTGGTGAAGTTGTTATAACCACCTGATGAAACACCCAAAAGCATATACGCTTGACGATATCCGATATGGCAATTAGCCAACCGAAATAAAGCCGTTGCGACTTGGATATAAATCGGAATAGTATTGGGAGCAACAAGATTGAATTCTTCGTGTGCCGAAAGCTCGTTCACCAAATGCTCAAAAGCACGCTTACCCATACGGTAGTTGGCGCGATAGCTACTGACCTGGTTTTCGTCATTGTCATTGAGGAATGGGTGTTCCAATCTCCAAAAGTGGTATCGACGCGATTCACGTCTACCATCAGCACTAATTACTGTTCTTGTTCTTTCTACATGTTCGCCCATCATGAAAATGGGGAGATTGTTAATAGAAACTCCATATTGATTGCGGTAGTTGCTGGCAATAAAATCATATTGGAGACGTTCTGCTTGGTAAAGTTCTCTACTGGAATGAAGAGTCGTCATATTTTCTACGAGGCGTTGTCCAGTAGAATTAAGAATTTCCATTCTATCTTCTTCGAGAGATTCAGATTCTTCGTTGATTCGAACTATAAGGAGCTGCAACTGAGACACGATAAACGCAATTTGTTGTGGGGTCATCATTCTTAAACTGTAATTTTTATCTTTTTAAAATAATAAAAAAATCGGTTAAACCGAAATTTTGTCTTTAAAGAATAAAGGAACAGATATTTTAGTAATCTGCAAAAACTTCATTATTAATCATTCAAATTGGGTCATTTAAAAAGCAACGTCATGGATTTCAGAAAAAGATTTCTTTTGGAAGTTTGAAGTAACCTTTCACAAAAAAAAAAAAAAAAAAATTAATGTCCTTAATCGGGATCTTTAAAAAATAGTTTGATGTGCTTGCGAGGGCCCTTATATTGCACAACTCTCCTGAGTTTTAATGATGAGTCAATCTTTCTGGTTTTGAAATAGATCTATACTTTGTTTCCCGCCTTGGATTAAATGGATACTACTCGTTAGAATTGTTTCCAGATAA